AAGGCTAAGTCTATCTATAAGGTAAGTCTAAGGCTAAGGCTAAGGCTAAGGCTTCAGGCTAAGGCTAAATCAACAGTCACGCCTCACCCCACGAGTGGGGTCGGCGGATTTGCCAAGAAGGGTAACAAGTAAGGGGAACTTGAAGAAACAGAGCCGGGGGCAGCACCATTGAGAAGCAGGAAAGACGTTGCCATATGCTCAGTGAATTTGACATTGACCAATCCTCAAAGGCTTACCAACCCCACAGGTTTTTTGTCAAGCCATTGTCAGCCTGTGTCCGCCTTCTCTGATCCTCGCTGCGTCCTGTTTGGCCACTCGCTCCAGGGCTCAGCCCTACCGGCTGCGCGCGCTGTGCGCTGCGTGAAGAGGGCGAAAAGAGTGATGCTGCAAGGGCTCTGGATATTTGGGAAGGATGTTTTCTTCATTTTTCCCGAATGCGTAGCGAAGGGTTCCCGTTTATAGTTGGGGGTCTGGGGGTTGGAGCTGTGTTCGCGTGGCTTGCGTCGTCTCGTCGTCTGTCGTCGTCTCTCGTCGTCGTCGCGTCTCAAATTTGCTGCCATTGGGGGAAGCTTTTGCAAGTGACTTTGCATGGACGTGTCACGTGTCAGTTGGCGCCGCTAATCCATTGTGATTTGCAGGAGCAGGACATGTCGCGCGAGAAACGTGATGCGTTTCGCTGCGCAGGTGCAGCGTTTTGTGAGATCGGCAGATTGCTCCGCAGTTCCATTGGGATTAGCGTTTGGAGAGTCGTGTTTTTGGGGTGTTGGATGTGGCCGTGCCATTGGGATTTGCGTTTCAGGGTGTGGCATCGAAGCTCGGTTTTCGTGACAAGTCTCAGCTGAAATGGCGATTTTGGTGGATGGGAGTGTGCTCAGAACGGGTCGAAATCATTCCAAACGTGTGGTGTGGTGCAAATTTTGTTGAAGCTCACATGAGATGATATTGTCACTTTTCGTGGCAGGCGCAGGACTTTGTGCGGGTTTTGAGGCGTGGAAGTGCGATTCTCGTGGCAGGCGCAGGGAATCGTGAGGTTGCGAGATGTGACGGAGGTGACATTTCGTGACAGGCGCAGTACTTTTTGCGCGTTAGACGTGTGGACGCGGAAAGATTCGTGGCAGGCGCAGGGAATCGTGAGTTTGTGAGTTGCGGTAGAGGTGAATGTCGCTGTCACATTGGGATTGGCGTGTGAGCGGATGTTGTTTGGAGGGGCTGGAATCGCGAAACTGCTTGGCAGGGCTGCGTGATGTGTGTGCTCCGATGGGTGTTTCCGCTTGACTTTTGGAGGAAGTCTCGTACAAAACGCTCGTTTTGCAGACTTTGACGTGTGAGTTTTTGAGGAAGTCTCGTACGAAACGCTCGTTTTGGAGACTTGACGCGCAACCCTCTGCGGAGATCGTGCGTGTCGAGTGCGCGAAATGCAGGCGAGAGTGCGATTTGTCCCATGCGCACGCAACCCTCTGCGGAGATCGTGCGCGTCGAGTGCGCGAAATGCAGGCGAGAGTGCGATTTGTCCCATGCGCGCGCAACCCTCTGCGGAGATCGTGCGTGTCGAGTGCGCGAAACGCAGGCGAGAGTGCGATTTGTCCCGTGCCCGCGCAACCCTCTGCGGAGATCGTGCGTGTCGAGCGCGCGAAATGCAGGCGAGCACTGGCGACTTTGTAGTACAACTTTAGTACGCGGGGTATCTGGGGAGCTGGAAGATGAGAACTGGTGACTCGATAGTACAACTTTAGTACGCGGAGCAATCTGTGGAGCTGGAAGCTGAGAACTGGCGACTTTGTATTACAACTTTAGTACTAGTACGCGGAGCAATCTGTGGAGCTGGAAGCTGAGAACTGGCGACTTTGTAGTACAACTGGCGACCCACAAGAGTGTCCTACAAGAGTGTCCTACAAGAGTGTCCCAGAAGAGTGTCCCACAAGAGTGTCCTACAAGAGTGGGACCAAGAGTGCGCTACAAGAGTGTCCCACAAGAGTGTCCTACAAGAGTGTCCCACAAGAGTTTCCTACAAGAGTGACCCACAAGAGTGTCCTACAAGAGTGTCCTACAAGAGTGCCCCAGAAGAGTGTCCCACAAGAGTGTCCTACAAGAGTGTCCCACAAGAGTGTCCCACAAGAGCGTCCCACAAGGGTGTCCCACAGAGTGTCCCACAAGAGTGTCCTACAAGAGTGCCCCACAAGAGTTTCCTACAAGAGTGACCCACAAGAGTGTCCCAGAAGAGTGTCCCACAAGAGTGTCCTATAAGAGTGTCCCACAAGAGTGTCGTGTAAGAGTGTCGCACAACAGTGTCCTGCAAGTGACCCACAAGAGTGTTCTACAAGAGTGTCTCACAAGAGTGTCCCACAAGAGTGTCCTACAAGAGTGTCCCACAAGAGTGTCCTACAAGAGTGTCCCACAAGAGTTTCCTACAAGAGTGACCCACAAGAATGTCCTACAAGAGTGTTTTACAAGAGTGTCCCAGAAGAGTGTCCCACAAGAGTGTCCTACAAGAGTGCCCCACAAGAGTGTCCTACAAGACTGTCCCACAACAGTGTCCCACGAGAGTGTCTCACAAGAGTGTCCTACAAGAGTGTCCTACAGGAGTATCCCACAAGAGTGTCCTACAAGAGTGTCCCACAAGAGTGTCCCACAAGAGTGTCCCACAAGAGTGTCCCAGAAGAGTGTCCCACAAGAGTGTCCTACAAGAGTGACCCACAAGAGTGTCCTACAAGACTGTCCCACAACAGTGTCCCACTAGAGTGTTTCACAAGAGTTTCCTACAAGAGTGACCCACAAGAGTGTCCTTCCCAGAAGAGTGTCCCACAAGAGTGTCCTACAAGAGTGTCATTTGGATGTATTAGTTTTTCGATTGTGTTTGCATTCGGGTTCGTGGGTTCCATCTTGTTCCTACTGTATGACTTTTTGGAGTTGTTTTTTTCCTTTACTGATTTCAAGGCTTGGCAACTTCAATGGATTTGTCTCATTATAATCAATGTGGACTGAAAACCTCCCGAAAACCCGCCAAATTTTGGCTGCATCTTGGGAGGTCTTGCAGCCTTTGTTTTCCAACGTTTGGTCCCAAAGCTAAAGGACTGAGAGATAGAAGAAGGACATCACATGGAACAACACTTGGACAGCCTGATTCTGACCAGACTGACCCAGCCTGATTTGCGATAAGCACTGCCAAGATTGCTCCTCCTGCTTCGCAGCATTGACCTAATGCTTGCTGCAAAGAGAAAAGCTTGACGTAGAAGGAACACGCTGGTAGATGGTAGCAGCTTTCTCTCCGTTCAGTTTTTAGTTTCCACTTCGCTCTTGTTTGGTCTTCCTGCGAGTCTTCCTTTTCCGCCTCTTTCCAAATAAAGAAAGCTACTGTACTAAGGATTATGAGCTATTAGGTTGGAGGCCATCGCTATTAGGGTGGAGGCCATTGCTATTACTTTCCTACTTCGGTCTTTTTTGGTCTTCCTGAGTCTTCCTCTTTCCGGATTCGGCGGGATCATCGCAAACACAGCGCAAACGATGCCAGGCGCAGGCGGGCAAGGCCTGACCTCGGCGCACAGAATCGTCTGAAGCCAGCGGGGCGCAGGCGTTGCTTTTATTGATCCCGGGTGCCACAATGTCTTATGTATCTGGCAAGTACTTGGCAAGTCAACCAGACGACATTGGTCCAAGAAAAGCTCGTTTTTCTGACTTGGCTCCCGAAGATTACCATAAGACCTCTGCCCCATCGGGCGGTGGCACACCATTTTGATCGCTTTGGGACTTCCAAGGAAGCCCGACCTGCAAACCACTGCAGATTGTCCCCCACCCTGATGAACTGAAGGCAGTCGAACCTGAAAGCATGATTGACCATGAGATTGGAGCCTTTCTCATCCTTTCTCGCTTTAAGTCAGGTCTGCGGGCTGCAGTGCGAGTTTCACCGTCAGGTGTAGTCAGACCTGCTGGTGGAAAATCCGATCCCAATGGTGACGGGATGCGACGAGCATTTTGTTGGTCATACACTCCAAGGTGCAAGAACAAGCTACCTAAACGCCGATGCACTTAAACTATTTACTCTAAGAACATATTCCTACGCCAGATCTTGCATTCCTTGACTTGGTAATTACCCTCCCGAAAGTGTGTGTCGTAGAATGAGGACAAATTTTGGGAGACAGACCCAGACAATTCGGGCAAGGCAAAGCACCGGTTTCCAACCCACTACTATTCTGGAAAAGGTTCGACGAAGGGTGCTTGTATTAGTCACAGTCTACTAGTTGGATTAGCTCGATTGTGGAAGCCTTTGGTAACTGGTGATGTTTTTTTGTATGTTGTCCTTCAACCCACCTCGTGAGTTCCTAAGCGCTAAGAGCCCATTCAAGCCATCAAAAGGTAGAATATTGCACAACTGGAAAATCCAGAATATTGCCTTCGTCAAATCCATCACCCTGTATATAGAACTCCACAGAAAACTCACCTCTTCATTGAAATAGCATGATGGATCATACACCCTAGTCGCAGTGTTTACAGGGTTACTTTCCCTTGTCGCAATTCTGGGAACCAGAGCCCTAGGGCCCCATACGCATCACTGATTTGGCTTAAACTCTTTCATGCTTTGGAGTGCCTCGCAGTGCTTTTCATGCAAAATCCATGTTGCTCGAGAACGTCTAAGAAGCTGCCCGAAGACTGCTCGGGGCCCTGGCAAGGAAGACCGAACAAAGCTCATGGCCACTTCGTTTCGGAGTTGCCATGCTGCACTCTGCAATTAGGTACATACTCCGGATATCTCCGGATAGCATATCTGTCTATAATTGTCTATCTGATTCTATCTGTCTGTCTCTCAGTCTGTCAGTCTGTCTGTAGTGTAGTGTAGTGTAGTGCAGTGCAGTGCAGTGGAGTGCTATGGTATGGTATGTGGTATGGTATGGTATGGTATGGTATGGTATGCATGGATGTATGTATGTATGTATGTACGTACGTACGTTCGTATTTCTGGTGTACATTAATGCATAAATTATCATCATAACATGACCCTATATGTTGTATTGTTCCACATTCATTGCTATGCCCAGCTTACTGAAAGCTCTGAATTGTTCAACATTCACCTGGAATCCTGGAGTCCTGGGCAAATCCTGCAGGAGATTTCGTTGAAACAAACATGAATTTCTGATTGCTGCATGTTGCAGTTTCTGTTGTCGTTGGAGGTCCACAGCTAAAGCTGCCAAGAAGCATCATTGAGCATGAACATAGAGGAGATGACTTTGCTTCAGATGTCCACCGTGGCTTCTCATCCTGCGGCCTGCGGCTTGATTGAATCTGCATGTCGGCTCCAGGTGAGTCATGGCAGATCGGCGCAAACATCGTCGGCCTGTGATTGCTTCCATCGTTGCCTTCACACTGCTGGGCTCTGAGATGACCTGCAAAGTCGTGAAACACGAGCTTCGAACTTGACCAGAACTTTTCCTAGGGCCCAGGCCTTGGGCCATACTGTATGGCTGTGGGAAATCAGGAGTTCCAACTTCCGACGAATTCCAACTAGTTCTGTATGAAGGCACTTTGGCGACTATGGAACCAACCAATGTGTCAGGCTTGGACTCTCTTGGACATGGTCTGCTACCTGCTTCGGCCGCAAAACCCAGAGTGCACAAAAAGATAGCTCAAAAAATGATGTCTTGGCCTGCAAGATAGCAAGTTATTGAACGACAAGATCTGAAAAGATAGATAGACAAGTAAGTTGAGTTTTACCATGCACGCTGATGGTGACTTTGTTTTGAATTCGGGAGACAGCGTGCCCATATTTTGAATCCGGCTCTGACACACTGACACTGAACTTTGACAAAACCTTGTTCGTGTATAGCAGTGTGGCGGTTTGACTAAGGCAAGAAGGGCAGCAAGGACACTGCATTTTTCTCACCGTGAAGGATAGACCTGGGCAATGCAGTTTTCTGTTGCCAGGAATTGCCTTCAGATGACAAGGCAAAGATTGTGAGCCTTGTTGGCCGAGAGGCAGCGTGGCTTAGAGTTGCAGCGAGTCAATCGTCAGCGTTTGAAGATGTGCTCACTCAAGACACCTCAATTCAGCTTGTTTAATCGCCACAGTACGTAGCTAGCAGTCAGTCAGATGTTGCTCACCCTTGATTAGCTTATCTTTGACTTTAAAAGTTTCTGCAGGGCAACGCGCACCCTTCCCGACTATATATATAATATATATAGATACAGATACATAATGATTTGCTTGGCGGAACTTCCTCAGGTTGTTGACAGCAGAGGGAATCCCACCGTTGAAGCAGAGTTGACCACAGGCAGTGTGCTGCAGGGCTTGCAACCAATTTGTTTTCAATTCAGAGCTTCGGTGCCTTTTTGTGGAGCAGTTGAACGTCTTTTCAAGACTTAGTTACGTGGAGTTAAATCTTGCTAGTGCTGGGCTAACCTGTTGAATTGACGGTACTGCTAGTCGAGAATCATCGGGATATATTAATCATATATAAGTCAAACATCACAGGGACATGGGCGTATATTAAAATAGGGAGGCCTCCCAGTTCGAGTTGGAAGGCGAGAACAGAGAAACGAAGGCCTCCCTAAATCCATCCGGTGGGGTTGGATCTCCGTCCAAATCCATTGCGCTTGGGGTTGGTCCCCAGGGTGAACACCTAAACGAAGGCCACCAGGTTCACCAGGACACTCGTTTTCCCGGCGAGGCTATGGCACGGTCCGGGCCATCGTGCCCAGCGGTGCCTCCACCGGGATCTACGAGGCCACCGGGATCTATGGGACCACAGGAACGTGCTTGGTCAAATCCCCCTAAAGGGTCTTGATATGTCTTGATGAGCATTTGTTGACGTTGACGAGATGTTTGGGCAAATAGCCCCGAACGTCAAGAAGCCGAGGCTGTGTGCCGTGCACATGCGTTCACATCAGAGTCAAGATATGTCAAGTTATCTCATACAGTTACATCTTCAGATATCTCATAGATGTTTCGCAAGTCATGCTATGGTATACAATACAGGGCAACGGACTTTCAATGACTTTCATGCAGGCTTTGGAGCTTCGAGATGGGGGAAGTCGCTACAAAGGAGAGACGACACAGCAATGGAATAGCTGCTTGACCTTACACCATAATATATGATATGAGTGAAATGACATGAAATGATATGACACTGTTACTTGTGTATTGAGAAGGCCTGGAAACTGTTTCCTGGCCCAAAACAGACAATTTTGCGGTCAGCAGATGGTGCGGAGGTTTCACAAAAGGCATTTTCTGTTCAGCCCAACATTAGACACGACCGGCTCGCATAGGCATAGGTTTTCTGAGACATGGGCCATCATGGGTCGACATGGATGTAGGTCAAAAACCAGCTACTCCAAAGTTATGGTGTAGGTATCAGGGTCTACAGTAGTGGTCTTCACCCACAGCCAGTAAATCAAATACAATTCGAGGTGATTGGAGGTGCTTCAACTCTTCCGATGATGCACACCTCTGCTCCAGGAGCAGGTGTCACTAAGGCGGTCTCGAACATCAACCGGATCATTGCGTGCAGACTCCAAGTTGGGGTTGTGACGAGTTGTGGCAGAGGCTTTGAGGTCCACCCTGTCACCTACACAAAAGAAGTAAAAGAAGGGGAACTCTGGAGTGAAAGGTAGATCCGTGTTCGCAGCCATACCAGAGAGTCACGCAGCTTTTTGCGACACACATTTGATTGGGTCGAGATCGGTAAGGCCCAAGCTGAAGGGCAAAGACGTCCGATTTCAGAAGGACATTGACGATTTTATGGCCCAAAGCCAAGGAGCTTGCTTCATGTGAGACATAAGACCAACTCCTAAGATGTCGTAAGGCTGGTACTGCTGGCAACTGCCACCTTTGTCACTTCATGAGTCGCGGAACTAGTCAATTCCAAGCTTCAGGGAATATTAGTATTGGTGTTGATGAAGCTCATACTTACATTCTAGGATATTCTAGGTTGATTTGAGCTGCCAGACAGGTCCAAACTCTTGATGGCTCGCAGAACGAATGGGGCTATCCAAAGGCGGAATTTCCTTGTGTTGGAATTTGACACACATGGGCCATGTCTCAGACTTCATTGCTTTTATCCAGATCATGGTCCCTTCAGATAGAAGTGGATCTTCTATGATCCTCCCGTCGCTGATCACTCGACGGACTTTGGCACAAAGATGAACAGTATGATGCCAATTTCCACTATATAGTCACTACCCTGACATGTGTTTGGTTTTGAGCAATGCACCTCAAAGATTGCCAGTCCAAGCTGGGCGCCAATGCCATTCTGGCGGTGTCCATGTCACGTCCTGAGCGATCAAGGGGAGCTTTCGTCTTGAAGTCTTGCAAACCATACATCATCTGACAGAACAAGATGGTACAAGTGTGTACAAGTTAGATCGGATATATTTGCAAAGAAGCTAATTATATCGGCTAGTGCAAGAATAATAAGACTTAAGACGTGTTCAGGTGTTGTTGTTCTTCAGTTGCAACCAGTGACAGTGTGTAGTTTTACAGCTACATATCTAGCTGATGACACAGAGAGTCTTCAGCATACTGCAGAAAAAGAACAACATGGCAGAAGAAGAACCGCTCTAGAGACCGTTTTAGCATCACATCTGTCTCCAAGTGCCATTTGAGCCTGTATCATTTGTCCTGCCCAAAGCTGTCACGTATTAGATAGACACACTTTTGGGTGACCCCAAGAACATCCATTGTCGCAAATCTTCAAACCTGCACTGGATTCAGCACTCTCAGGGCAGTGTGCCGCGCGGGCGCAGAGGCCTTTGGCCGGGAACCTCAGGTTGTGGAAGCTGCGGAGCACTCTTGATGCAAGACATTTAGGTCTTGACCAGTTTTCCCTGTTGGTTCAGGTCTTCGAAACGTTCGAACTATCGGCTGAGCTGTTGTCGGAGAGTCTGTTGCTCTTGGAGTACAGGTCTTCAGCTCTTCGAGTACATCGGAGAACTGAAGGAGACGAAGTTTGAGGTCGGGACCTCCGAACTCCGAACAGCAAGGGCCGAGGCCGTGAGGCCGAGGCCGTGGAGCTTCACATGGTTCTCGTGACTTTCTGTGTAGTCTATAGTTGGACATGGACTGAGATTAAAACACATGCATTGCAAGAACCAGGTGTGTCTATCATGTTGTCTATCATGTTGCGTGTGTTCTATGTACTGTACTACAAAACTATGTAAGGCATTGTAAGGTGGTATCCCAGGCAATTTCAGCGGATTGAACACGACTGAATGCTAAGGTTGAGCAAATCGATGTTCAGAGGGCAAGAAGAAAGTCTTACAAGATGACCAGAGCTCAGATCTTCTGATGCACTCACTTATCATGCTTATTTGCAAGACACAATCCATGCAGTCATTAGACTAGAGTAAACACGAGTGCTTCCTAGCAAGACCTCATCAATTTAACGGCTCACAAATGCAGAGCATGTTCCTACGTCGTGGCTATAAGGGTTGGGACATTTCTGTTTCACAGTGCATTGTGTTCATTTGTGTAAGACAGAATGCCGTTGTTCTTGGGTGCTCATCCCTTCCTGGGTTGGACACAGGCCTGTCCCCATGATGAATGTCATCAACGGCGGCCGGCATGCCGGCAACAAACTTCCAATGCAGGATGCTTTGAGCTAATCGAACGGCTGGATGTGTCCACGCGTTGCCCAGAGGTGTTGCCCAGCCGAAGGCTTAACTGAACCAAACTTACAATCATCATCAATCACCTAAACGTTTGGCAAGACACTAACAGAAGGCTCCCCCTTCTATTTGCCGACCTTTGACGCAACGGAGCTTTGTGGCTCCGCTAGGAGTTCATGATCGCCCCGACTGGTGCGAAGTCTTTCAAGGAGGTCCGGTTACCTAGCTGGTTGGGCCCAAAATGCACAGCGCAAAATTGAAGAGACTGTGCATTTTTTTTATCAATACACTGACTTTAATTGATATTACCAAGGACATTACCTGATATTGTTCGCAGTCCTGGTAGTTTATTCTCTTGGGCCTTTAGCCAGCACCAGCATGAAGATGGCACGGGTATGCACGAGTCAGTCCTGCCACTGCCGCCAGGCCCTCCAGATCGGATCAGAGGCATCCTCGATTTGCCGGGCGAGGAGGGCCGGTATTCTGCAGTGATGGCTGTGTGGCCGGAGGTCTACCACTCGCTCCAGAGCGTCGTGAAACAGAAGTATGGCAAGAGTGCGGCTGCCGTCGGCGATGAAGGTCGCTACCTTCTATCATTACCCAGCCAAGCAATCAGTTTGAAGCACTTTGAACCAGAGCTGATTTGTCCTGTTCAAGTGCTTGTCTACATGAAGTCGAGTCATTCTATATCATTCTATACAAGAGATTGCGCAGAAGTTGGGTGCTGCTTGTCCTGCGCCTGTCCGTCCGAAGGCGGCTTTGCTCCTAACATCCAGGAGCAGTTGCCGGATGCAAACAATTGGATGGGGAAGATGATTTCCAGCACTTTTTAAAGCCAAAACTGACCATGTTTAGATGTTGAACACCAGCGCTTCTGTCCTTATGCTGCCATACACCTTCGAAAGAAAAGATCACAGGCACGTCCACCTTCAACTGCCAGTCCCGGAAGTCGAACACGAGACCCGAATCGCGTCCCGGAAGTCCATGGCCAGCCTCGCCCCTTGAGCCACACATGTCCATCAAGTTCAGGAGAACGATGAGGGCTTGCAAGCCCTAGCAGAGGCCATCAAAGATGCCGGCGCAACTGGAAAGGCCGAGCAGGGAGTGAGACCGACAGGAGTGAGAGTCAGTCATCATTTTTATTTCTAGAGCTGACCGAGCTGTATCTCACGATTCAGATTTCTCCCGTTGTTTGCTCAAAGGTAAAGCTTGCGATGGACATCGCGGCCTCTGAATTCTACAACAAGGAGGACAGACTCGAACCTCTGGAAGATCTTGGTCTTGTAACACGTTCTGAACATGATTGAAACTCCTTGCTCCGAACCCCATGCCACTTCCCCACTGGTGGAAGGACAAGACGTACAACTTGGGATTCAAGGCGGGCTGCTTTGCTCTAGGTGTGTGGTGGCCCTTGACATAACTTCAAAATAGTGGAGGAGGTGGTGGTGGTGGTATCTATTGTAATTCATTACTCATAATTATGTACTCAGATTTCAGATTGTCTCAGATTCATGTCAGATGGTTTTGTTGCAAGAAAGAACGTGCAGCTTGAAGTGGCTGTGGGTCAATACCACACTGGAGGTTCACGTTGCCGTTGACCTCCCTGGTAGTTCGTTTGTTCATCAATCAGAGTCCGGACCGGCTGGGTCGAGTGGGGTCGAGTGGGTTTGAGGTGGAGAATCCGGATCCTTCGCTAATTAAGACCAAAGAAGAGCTGGTGGCCTTCTACAAGGACATCGCCTCTAGGCACAGCACACAGCGAAGCACGCGATCGTTCTGCGCAGCGAGGATCATTTTTCGCTCGTTCTTTTTTTTTTCGCTGGATGGTAGTAGGCTGCAGAATGGATGGTAAATATGGTATGCGATTCCGGATTCAGAGGCTGAAGAGTTCAATCTCATGTGGCCTTCTCACTAGCTTTCCTAGACAATCCTAGACAGATGCCAGCTTGAAGGTTTCCAGTCGTTTCCATCGAAGACCCCTTCGACCAGGAGAGGCTTTGTTGATGCGAAAAGTGAAAGCTGCATTTTTCCTATGTGCTGTTGACTAGGTACTTCTAGGTTTCACTGCATATCCAACAGTCGCATATTTCCTTTGCCTGATCAATATGTGTACATATTATTAACATATATTAACATAATTATAGTTAAACAATATATTTAAATATATATAATGTCCTTGTCAATTGAACATGCTGTGATCACTGGAGCGGAGAACCTGTGCAAAGTGCAGGATGACTGGGACGCCTACAGTGGTTTGGTGGAAGAACTGGGGAAGAGCGTGCAGATCGTTGGCGATGACTTGTCGCTTGGCCAACACATCCCAAATCTCGGAATTGGTTTAAGTTGAAAGGAACATCTACAGGAATGAACACCATGGTTTCCTGTAGATTTTCCCTTAAACCAATTCTGCGACAACAGCACTTGCTCTCCCAGTGTTTTTCATTGTTGTTAGGTGCAAAGGCTGTTAGATACATCGAGGTCTCTTCAGCTCTTTCACTTGTCATGAATTTCTGTGTTTGGCACAGGCCCTAGGCTATTCAGACGGGTTCACCCGAGGCTTGTTACAAATCCAAAGAGAATCCACTATGCTCAGGAGCACAAGGCTTGGTGTCGCAGTTTTATGCACGAACTGCGGCAATATATGAATAGTCAAGAATAATCAATGATGTGCATAGATTAGATGTTCTCTTCACATCCGACGACCGTGATACCTTCAGGTGAAGTCTGTTCCAGCAAAGTTGTGTTCGTTGCCACCTGCGAGGCAGCCAATGCCCTTCTCCTGAAGGTGAATCAGATTGGTAGCATCACTGAAGCCATTACAGCCTATTTGGACAGCGTTTCCACCGGTTGGGGAGTCATGGCTTTCTCCTCAGCATCAGCGCGCAAGTTTTGAGACCCGGTTGGGGAAGACGGGGAGGAACTGTGTGACAGATGTGTTCAAGCGATGTGAAATCACAGAGAGCACTGGGCAGCGAACGCATCGGAATCTGAGGTCTCTCATCGAAGTGGCGAAACAGAGGACACCTTCATTGTGAGAGCCTCACGAGCTTGTTGATAGAGATGAAATGAATGTTTACGGATGTTTGCGGTGCATGACTTGTACTTTTCATGTACGGTGCATTTTCCTTCGTCCACACAACGATCCATGGCTTCGTCGAGTGGGCTCCAATGCGACGTTGCTGTGCTGTCCACCTGTCCATGCCCCGTCCGGGCATTCCCGGACTTCGGCACAGGACCCGGGCAGACCTGGGATTGTCATTAATGTTGCAACCCGCTTAGGCCGACTTGGCCGTCGGCTTGAGCACGGGACAAATCAAGTGTCGCCCTCGTCTGAAAACACTTCTGAAGGGCTTTGTGTGGGTAAAACCAACAGCAGGGCCGCAGGGTTGGCAATGGTTGGTGGAATCAGTGGAACTCATCAACCATCTTCATTCCGTGAGGCCTTCCAAAGGGTCTTAGAAGACTGACAAGACCAGTTGAACTTTTCCGATGCAGAAGTGATGGTTTAGAGGACCAAGTACGTCCTCCTTGCAGCCACCACCTGGCTTTCCTTGAGTTTGCAAGAGAATCTACAAAGTTGTTTTGAGACTACAGAGCAGGTAGTCCTAGGCATACCAGGTAGCTAGTAGTTCGGTTTGTACATGCCAACCGCGTCATACCTTGTCACTGAGGACCGGTGCTCCTTGCCGTTCAGAGAGAGTGGCGAAGCAAGCAGCTGAGTGTTCATCGCATCCCAGTGATGCCGATGTGTTGATCCGTGAAGTTGCCGACACCAACTTGTTCGATCGTTTGTCGCCAATCAATCTTTGTTTTGATTCAAGATGATGTAAAGATGACATGAAGAGATAAGAACAGATAAGCAGGTCGCAGTGCCACGCGAAGCCCAGGTACAATCAGCTGCTGCGAATCGAAGAATACCTGGGCCGACGGGCAAGCTATGCTTGAGTCTCACGTATACGTTGCATACTTTGGCTTGTCACTTTGTGTTGTGTCTCTGGACAACATGTTCAATCATTTCTAGCGAAGATTATATAAATCCTGATGTGATCAATTATGAACACCAGGAGGATCTTTGACCTTAGTGTGCACGATTGAGACTTTGATAGACTTTGTAAAACTGTGAGTTGCACAGATTCAGGAGACACAATAGATTTGATTGATGGATTCAGCTCAACCATTCTTTCAGGCCAAAGACATCCAAACTCTGGCCTTTCACAGTTGAGTTCTAGCTTTGCCGGAAATGTTTACTTGAGGCTGGGGAGAAGTTCCGAGACTCCTGAGAGGGATTCTCGACCATGAAAGTGACCCCATAAGACAAGGACAAAAGTACTGAGCCTAGGGCTTAGCTTGTCACTGCTCTTTTTGATTGTGATCCAAGACAACTGGTGATTTGTCAGAACCTGGCATTATTGTTTTTCGCTCGACACTTTTTTTTGATCGATTAATGCGCCTTTGCACATGATGATTCGGGATCTACCCGAGATGTAGGCATTTGGACGCTGCGTCTTTCCAGTTTCAAGGCTCACGCAACATGTCGTGCCCCTGGCTGGAGTAAATAGTCCCCTGTCTGGACCACTGCTCTTGGAACTCTTTTCAAATAGGCTATATTATACTTGCTTGTGCTCCCCAGCAGACCTAAAGCTCATTTCTGTTGTCAAAGAATGACAAACCAGAAGAGGTCTGAGTGCAGCAGTGATGGACAAGTACCAATATTTAGCCCTTCGGTTTTCAACTGCTTTCAGCAGCTGACCGGCGATGGTCAGCAGCTCTGACACACTGAGAAATCCGATGTGCTTCAGAAAGTGCAACACTCAAAGGGGCTCTCATCTCTCAGAAAGTGCCTGAAATGTCCTGTCGTCCCACACGAGGAAACCACCGAAACCACCTTCCACGGAGCCGAAGCGAAGACGATGCCACCGAACCGACCGGAGCGGATGGACGACACGCGTGGCACGTTTGACGAACTGGCCATGACCGTTGTTTGGTCCCTGGACTTGGCTCGACGAAGTCACGGTCTGGGAGTCACGCGGGGAGTCGAGGGGAGGGAGCCTCATGGGGTCTGGTGAGGCTGGCATGTTTACGAGCTGAAAACAAGAGGTCAAAAGGAGGTGGCGATGCGTTCCTGGGAACGCTCCATGTCATGCATGGCTTCTTTATGCTTAGTTACATACATTGGGGTGGTTGAACAGGGGTCAATGTAGCTGGTGTTTTGGATGCGTTTCCGTCCAGGGCGCAGAGGATGCTCTGCCAGTGATTGACTCACAGGATGCTCATTGGTCATGGACCAAATGACAGATCAACCAGTTCCTTACATTATATAATTATGTTCTACCCATGCAGGTGCCGTGATTCGGGGTTCTTCCTGAAAGATGAGCCCTGTTTAGCTCTCGTCGACCCCCCTGATGCTTTTCCTTGCACCGCGGCAAGCAGCATCCGCATCAGGTGCATCAGGAGGCTTAGACTGGGCAGTTCAACAGTCCTCACCGGATGAGCTGAAGGCCGCCTTAAAGGACAGAATTCTAACAAATCATCGGACTTTGCAGTCAGCACTTGTTCCGGCTGCGTGCAGCAGGTTTTCCTTTTGGTTCTGTCGGTAGCTCTGAAGCTCCCAAAGATGATACAGCAATGATGACGCTCTTTTTTGCAACGTGACGACCTGGAGGACCTACCTCCAGCATGTCGTGGCAAGCTCCAAAGTGCACTTGCAGCTCTCCCAGCGAAGCCAGCGGCAACCGGTGCCGCAGGGTTTTGGATGCATGTGCATCATTTGAATTCTGACCATAACATCTCACTGCAGTTTGGTTTGGACCACCCAGATGACTAGAAGATACACAACACGTTGTGCGTGAACATCCGATTGAAGGAGCCTAACACAAGATCAGCTGTTTCTACGTGTTGAACAAACTATGACAAAACATATTAAAATGTTTGCCACTAGCAAGCAGTCAATGTCACATGCTCACAGTATGATCCGCAAGAAGGTAGCAGTAAGTAAGGGGCGGCTAATAAAGCATTTGGCTTTATAACCTTCTGCCCCTGAGAGCTGTCGCTGTTCCATCCGTTCGTTTCCGCCCCGACTCCCTGTCATGTCAGTCACCCCAAGCCCGCACCCGATCGCGAAAACACATCAAGCCAGGTGCTCCACCAGCGGTCACCTCTGCCAAAGGCCTTCGGCTCGGCATTTTCAGTACTCATTGATTGCGCGCGTAAAATATATCAAAACACATTCTGCAATCAGTGTTGAGCTGTTCTACAGAAATGACTACTGCAGTGATTTGTAATGGCTGGCCATACTTCCAGTGTTGATGTCCGCCCGAGAGATTCCTTATACTCATGCTCCTGAAGTGGCAGAATCACCATGTTTACAAACTTGCCCAGAAAAAGCCAACAACAGTGGCATTTCTGTTCCGTACAACCCAGACCAAGCTCAGCTTTGAGCAATGATGCCAAAGCCACAATGACAAGCAATGGCAAGACACAGTCTACCAAGTCAGTGCACGGAGGATTGCATTGTGGCAACACCAAAAGGAATGCACAAGGTTCTCCAAATCTCGCGGTACAAGCAGCCTAGTCTAGTGGGGACAACTCTAAGTAAAGTAAATTTGAACTTGACCATGACACTTTCCACCTGACTGCCTGCGTCAGAGCTGAAACGAATCTCACACCGAGTCGATGGGTCCCGTCAGACGGTATCTCGTCAGTTTTTAGGGGTGGCCTGACCCCCGGAGGTGGGCTGCCTTTTGTTCCGTGCTTTTTCTATTTTTAAGTGCTCAGGCCTTGAACCTGGTAATTCTGCAGGCAATGCGCAAAAGGAAACAGGCGTGACTCCCTTTGGGCCGTCCAAAACGGTTTTGAAGATGTTCAGAGCCATGTGCTGGTTGAATAGTGTTGAAGATGACCACAACGAGACATAAGAAAAATACTCAATCATACATCATCGTACTAGTAAGTTCCTTACATTGCTCATGCGTTGTTTGTGACTCAAAAAGCCTGCCTTTGTCTACTCGCTCCCCAGAACTTGTCAACTCAAAAAGCGAAGAACTCGACCAACGTGGCCCATCCTGTTTCAGGCCCAACCTCTTGATGGACCGTCATGGCTCATCCGACTCCAGAAGGTGGGAGAGACCCGGATGGGACCCGGAAGGTGGGGACCCGTGTTCTTTTCGAACGTGTCGATTTCACAGAAAAGGTCAGAAAGATCGTATGGTATTGACAGAATCGTTTTGACACATACGACATGGACTGGATTTTCTGCTCCGGATCTGGTTGGCACTGGCAGAGTGTTTTGTTTTTCTGTTGTGTTGCATTGTGTTGTGGCTTCGGGGCGATCGCCAACATGAATGAAGCACTCAAGTCTTTGATTTGTAGGCCACCACGGACTGTTTGTCAGTACTGTAGGCTTGCCAAATCAGGAAAACACAGCAGATGCTTAGCTTTGCAGCCTCAAACAAAGATCAGCAAAGCAAGACGAATGAGGCAACAAGAGCGCGTTGCAAAAGAGGAATGACCCGAAAAACCTTGTGTTCAGGGATGTATGTCTGTCTGTGATAGACGCGTTGTTTTCTTAAAGTTTTCAAGGCAAACCCGGCAGGAGAAGGAGAGGTCATAGATGATCTTAGTGTGTTCTTATATGAAATATATATATATATAATATAGGTGATGTGATTACTGACCTCGGAGTCAGCAGCTGCCCAGACCTTGAACACATTGACATCAAATAAAGTACTATAAAGGTCCTAGTGTCCTGCAAAGCTCAGGTACAACCAGGTGCTGGGAATTGACGAATAGCCGGGCAGACCGGGAAGCTATGCTTGAGCCTTAATTAGGAGTTTTGCATACTTCGGCTCGTCCAATGTGATGCAGTTGTTCCATGTTGTTCCTTTATGCTTCTTGTTTCTACTAGCTTCTTGTTACTACTAGTAAGGCACTTGTTACTAGAAGCGATGCACTTGTTCCTAGTAGCTTCTTGTTTCTACTGCGTTTAACAGCTTGAACCACAATGACTGTAGCGTAGATCTTCATGTGGAGATGCACACTCTTGCTGAGGTTGGAGACAAGGTCACGAACTCCTGAGAGGGCTTTTCTTCCTCTGGAACAACCGACGTCGCATGACGTCGCCTACGGGAGGATTTCAGCTGGCGCATGCGTGGGCGGAAATTACAGACTGTTGAGGGCCGTTTTGCCTTTGATATGATGATGCAGTCCGACCAAATGAATGAGCAAACAGCGGCACACATGTTTTCAAACTGACGCTGTAATTATTGTATGTCAAGATCACTATCAAAGGCAAGGACAACTGCTCTGTGATTGATTAAGACGCTGACAGTTAAAGACAATCTGTGAACATCAGAGAGCTCAAAGCTGTCAAGCACGAATTTGGACTGCCTGGAGTGCCAGCTTGATTGTTTGGTGGTCAGAGAGTGTAAGCCGCCCCGGGACACTGAAATCCTTCGCTTCAGAGAAGTGTCACAATTTCGAACGACTTCGAGAGCGGCATGGATTTACAAGAGTCGGGGCAGGTGCTCGTCTGAGTATGTCAACTGGTCTCCAACAGCGCGCGCAGAGGCGATGCACTACGGCATGGAAGTTTCATTTTAGAGAACGTGGGGTTTAGCGTGGTTTGGGTGTGAGGGCTGGTGACACCTCAGATGGGAACAACCCCACGGGGTAATCTTCTGAGGCCTCTTTAGTTCCCAAACGGGAATTTTGTCTTTGCAATTTTGACATGGTGTGCATGGGAGGGGCTTGAGTGTCTCAAAGTCTTGTTGAGTCCATGTCGAAATATTGCAGCACCCTGTGATTTTTAACTTCTTTGCTCAAGCTTGATACTCTGACAGAAGGCGTTTCTGGGAGTACTCATGGGGTCTGGTGTGGCCGGCATGCTTACACATTCTTTGCGGGGCTTAAAGACAATCTAAGTGAGCGCAAACTGGTGCCCCATGCGCCATCTTTTTGGGACTTTTTCGGGGTCGCTCTGAGTCGCCTTCCACATGAGCAGAGGATCTGCACCACCGATGGAGCGATCGTGTCACCAGGTGCGTCCTTGGACTGGGCGGTGCAACAGTCCTCAGCCGATGATCTGAAGAAAGCCTTGAAGGACGGAAAGACTACTAATTGGAGCAAGAAGCTACTAGTTACTAGTAGCTCCTGGCATTACTACTAGGAGCAAGAAGCTGAGGGCATCGCAACTAGTAACAAGAAGCTACTAGTAGCTGGGTCGAACAGAGAGACCTCGAAGGGAGGCTAGAGGGCTAGGCAGCGGTACGGAGGCCTGTCAGGTGGAAGATGGCCTGTCAGTGGCAGGATGTTTGGGCATGACATGATCTACTATTCTACTATGTTCTACTTGCATCATATAATACAACAATAATATGATATATTATACTATATAATTACTGCCAGCAGTTCGATACGCACTGAGGATCTTGTATGAGAGATGCTGTGAGACAATTCTATTACATTCTAAGACCATACATCATACAACATCTTGCAGCACTTGCGACCACTTAGCTATCTTCACCTTATGGTGTCGCAAATGGTTTCTTCCACCGGGTGACGAGGTCTCTTGTATGTTTGACCAGGACTTGCCTCCGGCATGTCGCGGCAAGCTCCAAAGTGCATTGGCAGCTCTTCCACCTCCGAAGCCACCTCCAGTAGCGACAGGTGCCACATGGACAATGACATGATGCCTGTGCTGTAGATGATTTGAAGATCAACGAATCAACAGCGTCTCCAGCAATTAATTGGGTCAGTAGGTCTCAGTATCCTTGGAAAATGGTCCATGTGCTTGGTTGTCAAGCTACCATGACACTACTGCTGGATGAGCAGTCTGAGCCGCGGCAGCAGCTGAGCAGCGTGTTCTTGTGGCAACTTCATTCGTATGGCCTTGCGTTGGTGAGGTCCAATACCCTTGGGATTTATGTATTAGGGCCCTTCGGCAGGGAAAGACCTGTTGTGTTGGACATGATCCCTTCTCCCCACCGATTCTGTCAACATTGTCAACCCCTCCAAGCCAGCACAAAGTCTCGAAAGCGCATCCAGCCAGGTGCTCCACCAATGGTCACCTCCGCTACAGCAAAAGGCACGTTTTGGCTTGGCCATGTCCTGGCTGGTTGTTTCCAAGCTGTTCGGACGATTTGAATGGATCGCCATAGTTCCAGGATGATCCTGGATGCATCTTGGAAGAAACACACAAGTTTTTGCCTGACCCTGCGCCGGTGACATGCCATTCAGTCGGACCAACACCTGCAAGGTGGACCTGTGAATTGCGCAGCCATCACGAGGATCGCAAAAGATGAAGAAGGCAGTTACACGTTGATCATTGCGCTTGCTGTAAGAAGATGTCAATGTATGAGGCATGTAAAACAAGTAAAACACTCCCTTTGCAGATGTCCTCTCAAAGAAAGCATGGTCGATCTGGAGTGCGATTTTGTAGAGTCTCAAAGGCAGATAAAAAGGGAGTCTCAAAGTATATATCGCTATTAGGCATCGATAGTAGGTTGGAGGCCATCGCTATTAGCTTGGAGGCCATCGCTATTAGGTTGGAGGTCATCGCTAGTAGGTTGGAGGCCATCGCTATTAGCTTGGAAGCCATCGCTATTAGGTTGGAGGTCATCGCTAGTAGGTTGGAGGCCAACGCTATTTGGTTGGGGGCTTTTGCTAATAGGTTTGGGGCCATAGCTATTTGGGTTGGAGGCCATCGCTATTAGGTTAGGTTGGAGGCCATCGCTATATAGGTTGGAGGCCATCGCTACTAGGGAGGCTGAAGCTGGCTGGAATGAAGTGATGGGTTGAACGAAGGTCCTTGTCAAGTTACTGGATATTGTTTTACGGGGTGTTCTTTTGCAGCCAGCTAGGCGCTTGATTTTCTGAGCCCAATTTTTTTTTTGCTCAGTGTTTGGAGCACGCTGACTTTGGTGGCTTCGGACAGCAGGGGGGAGCGCAAAAGAGACTTTTTGGGTTCGGAATTCCGCACACGCGCTCAAGGTGACAAACATGTGTTATCAGAACGCATGCCATGCTTGATGCCCTCACACATGACAGATCACGACAGACTTGTTCGTGAGTAGCAGCCTGTCCCAGAAGTTTTCTCATGTTCCGATGATTTCGATTTCATCCTACACGATCCTACAAGTGGTTCTTCTTTGGGAGGCTTGAATCCACAGCCCGAAGCGCCGAACTTCAAAGGGGCGTTGGTGCAAGTCTATGTCCGCTCGGAGCCGCCTGAGACCTCAGAACAGGGTGGTAGACGATGGTAGACGTTTTGAAAGTGAACATGACATTTCCGTGAGTTTTCGCTTTGGCTTTGTAGTTCGGTTGCATGACTGTGGGACAGATTGTTGCATGTTTGTATTTTAGGCCATGTAGGTAATTACGCAACCGGTTCTTAGGTGTGCAGTGACCCCAGTAGCGGTGCCTTTGTCTCACGTGCCAAGATTCGGTGGCTTTGACAAGAGCTCTAATGGGCACCGCTATGACTCGGTGATCATTGCCAACGGAATGATTGATGCGGGCATGAGTTGCCAGGGGCTGAGCAGTGGAACTCCGGACATTGGAAGAGGACATGACACTGTGACACCTTGTTTTGTTTTTAACGGTCCACTCATCCCCTTAACTGCAGCGGATGGGGGTCGTCCCTGGCCGGACGTCCGCCGGTCCGTGTTGCACCAGATTGAAGTCCGCCGGTCCGACGCAGGAGGGATGCATACTGTAGCCTCTGGCAAATAGCTATCAAAAGAACAGGGCACTCTTTTTGGGTCACTTACCAGTGGGGAGTGAAAGAAATCATGAGCAGGGCCACCCGAACCATCGCAGCCCGAACCATCGCAGGTCAGTTGATTCACTACACTCACGAGGAGCATGACATTTTCGTGAAACTTTGTGGTCAGTTTGACTTTCTCGTGCTGCGAATTCATCCTGGGCACATCGAGGCAGGGTTACAAGGCGTCTTCACTCGGAGGGAGAGACACATCGGGTCCCAGCTAGGCCACTGATGGCATCATGACTAGTTGTGATTGGCCGGGCGGGTTCGTCGTCTCCCCTTCCAGGCCGATGGAGGGAACCAGCAGACCTTTGATGATGCTATGATCGGCTTGAGGCCGAAAGGGCGCTCGATCGCAATGCAATCTGGTTCCAGTCGTTCCACGCTGAGTTTTTCGGTCAAAGACGGTTCATGATTATCATGTAATGAATGTAATGCAGGCAGAAGGGCGTCCAAGTTTGGCCATCACCTGATGTGATCTCCAAGCTAACCTCGGTCACCGAGACACTTGAGGAGTGCTCTCAACTGTGACTCTGTGGATGAGCAAACCATAGCAAACCCAGTATATATATGAGCAGTTTCAATCATGGACAAGTAGATCCAAAAAGATTCCTGAGAAACCGGAGTAATGCATTGTGCATCAAACTCCAACTGCTGAAGGACCCAGAGACCATCACCTACAGCTCCATCGAACATTTCGCGGCAGCGTTCCCAATCAGTGTGGGCTGCTGCCCACGTGTGATCAAAGTCAAAGGTACACCGCCCGGCGGCGAAGGGATTCTTGGTGAAGGGATGTTCTGACTGTTTGATCAATGCTTTCGGTGTTTTGCTATAGGCTCAAACAGGCTCAAACCATTGAATTGAACTATAGACTATAGTGTATGAAGTAGTCTATTCAACACAAAATAGGCTAGCTGCAAAACAGTAGAACATTTTGATGAGGATGTGAATCCCTGCGGCGTGAGTTTGTCAGCGGGTGTTGGATCCACCTTCCCTTTCAACCCTTGAAATTTCAGTCGCACCAGTTTTTCGCAAAAGCCTCACCAGGTTTTCTCAGCACAACCCTCACCAGCGGTCAACTCCTCCACTGTTCTACACTTGTGCCTTCTACATAGTCTCATTCGCGTGCATGCGGGTGTGTGTGTGTAATTTAGTTTTCTGCCAAGGATTTGGATTGTAAAGCTCAAAGATGGAAACTATGGTGAAGAGTATGGGAAGCGCATTGCTCAAGAGACCGACACACTCCTGCTAAAGGAAACTGCAGATGGCCATGAGGAGGAGCATACGTTGGCAGAATTCATGGCATCTTGGTCGAACTTTTCTGTCCCCCCAACGCATTTTTGACATTCCTGCATGAACAGACAGAGTTTGTTTTGACACATATTTTCACCTTGTTTCTTCAGCCGAGGAATACTGGATAAATGGATGCACTGAAAAGTCTGGAAAGTGGACATCCAAGGCACTGACAAAGTGTAACTTGTTGGTACAATCCTTGTAACACGTTCTGGTGCAATCTGCCTATTCGTAGCGCCTGTCTCTACGAAACAAAGGGTCCCAGAGCGTAACCCTTTCATCACGCAAGACCGTTTGTATTCATGGCTCAATCACGCTCAATCTACGAGAGAAAGGGCCAATGCCAATTATTTTTGCACATAACAGTTCTCCTCAAGCCCTCTTAACCGTTTAATTACATTAGGTTGGATCCTGGGGAGCAATGGGTGTATCGCAAAAAATGCCAGAATGTTGTTGCCAGGGCTCTGGAAAGTATTTTGCCAAAGCAGAACAAGCGGGTGGCATTTGCGATGCACGCTATGAGGAGAAGGATGGCAAAGGCCTCGAACGATCATTGGGGCCGGGGTTTAGCTGAGTATAGCCTAGTAATGCCTGCTGTAGGTTTGGAGAATTTACCGCATTTAAGGCATAGTCAGAGGTTTTTTCATGGGTGTTCCATGTGGCGACATTGCGCGTGGTACTAGCTGTAGTGGCTGATCAATTCGAACCAACCCAAACAGTCCAGTCCAGTCGCGCTGGACAGGTGAGCTTGAATTCCACTTTGTGATGGATGACTTGGTGGAAATCATCCACACACCCAAGGGATCGAGTTCGAAGTTCTACCCGTTCGACATCGCTCGGTACGATGGTGAGTTCTGCGCGTTGGCGAAGAAGTTCTTGGCTGAACTTCCTTCATTAAGCAAGACCCTTGAGAATGCCTTCCCGTTGTGGTGGACGGTTGGCTTCAAGAGATTTGGACCACCAGGTTCTGAGGAGTGGCTACCAACGAAGATGCTTGCAGACTGTATTGGCCTTGACCAATGTTTGGCAGCTTGCGTGGCTCGCTGTGAAAAAGCAGAGGATTCTCGCCTCGCAGAAGCTAAGACAAGAACGTTTTTGATCGTTTTTGCGTTTTTTTTGACTTAAATCTAGGCAGTCTCGGTGCCTAACATCCTGGCGTTCCACCGGCCTATATGGCTACAAAGAGATCCCCCAGAGACGAATCCGGGGGAAAGGGTGTGAGAGCAACTATAGAGTAATGGATGATAATGGATGTTTCCCACTTCTTCTGCGTTCAGGCCAGCTTCTCAAGCATCTCCTCTGAAGACCGGGCTGCAGCTGAGAAAGTCGGTCAGGTCATCGCTCAGAGAGCTGTGCGACTGCTCAGCCAATGACCTGCTGGGCAAACGGTGTCCACGTCTTAGGCACTTGTAGGGTGAGATGTTGCTTTCCCATTTTAGGTAGCAGAGAGCTTTGTCCAGCAGAGCAGGATGACCGAGATTGACTGAGTCTTGTGTTGTGAAATCGTGAAATCATAAGATCTTGGAACAGCCGAGAGCTTTCACTCACCTTTTTCAAACATTGGAAGAGGCACATTACATAACAATTTGAAAGTTGCAAAGTCAACCAACCTTGTGTGATTTGGACAAATGTCCCACGACAATGAGCCCCAACTCTGTAAAACTATGGGACGGATGTGCGAGCGTTTTGGTCGAACTCATCACCTTTATGTGGAGGTTGTTTTATATGTAGTTTTCCGCAACAATGTTGTGCATGTTACGTTCTCAAGAGACAAATGCCTTGACTTGTCGAGGAATTGCAAGTTGAGAAGTGTTCAGAGTCGAAACTCGCCTCGGGCAGGAAACGTAGCAGAGCATAGCACTTTTTGTTCCTGATTATCCTAATTGCTGGAGCTACTTTAGAATCCCGATTTCAGAAGAGATCCGCGATGTTGGACATACTCTTGCAGAAGTTCATGTCCATGTGTCATCTTCGCGACCTTGAGCTGCCTGGCTTGTGATTTCAGCTGCTTGGCTTTGTGCGGGCCTCCGCGATAGTGCCATGTGGCAGGAAGCCATGAAAACGCACCGGCGGGGCATGCACAAGCTCGAGGTGAAGCTCGATCGTGTAAAGAGTTATATATATAGTAATAGTATACACATATACACCTGAATTCCTGAGGGTGTTCATCTTTGGAAGGACTATGACGGGAAGAGACTAAACCATCGTGACGACCATGACTTCGGTGAGTCTTTGGGATCTTCCGATGGGCCGGTCTTTGAGACACAACGTAGGTTCATTTGAGTGACCTGTCGAACGAGCTCATGGCCTTGAAGGAGTGCTTGGCCAGGTCCTCAGGGGCGAACGACGAAGAAGGGGGGCGCCACGTGGGAACGAACGCATCGTGTCTCCTCTAACTGTCAAAGAACCATAGCTTCGTGTCACTCGGAAGATGGTTCAAGAAAAACCATCAGCAATCACTAGCCGAGCTGTGGGGATGCGTAGCGCTGGGCCAGATTGGACCCTGCTACTGAAGCACGGCCGAATCAGCGAAGACATTGCATGATGAAACAATTGAACGCATGGGTTTGTGACATCGATTGGATTATATGCATCAGTTTTTGTGCCTGATAGATATATAGTCTCTTAAGGTTGAAGTTGGCATTCTCCAACAAGAACACTTCCTAGTCCAGAGCTTAAAGTTGGCGAGTTGGGCCTCAAATGGGGATGGAACTCAAGACGCAGGCTCCTGGAACCAGGAGACTTGCATAGAAGAAGATGAAGATGATGTTTCGCTTGTGGAAATGCCACTTGTTAGACACGGCTTCGGCATGCATCATGGAATGATCCATGCGCTGACTGACACGATTTGACGCCTATCAGCTCTATGTCAAAGCTTCGAAAGGCACGATTGCACAACAAGCGCTTTGCAGCCGAGAGACAGGAGCGCAATGCGGTGCCTCAAACAGCTATTTCATATCAATGCATCAATGGCTGAGTCGCTTGTTGACTGTTGATGTGCGCATGGCCAGGCTCACCCACTGGGCTCAGTTCAAGGTGCTTCACAGGTGACCTGCACGGACACCAGCATGGGTCGCAAGCAGTTGGCATTAGCGATGCCCTTGTTACTAGTAGCTTCTTACTACATCGAATCCTTTTTCACTTGAGTAAAGCGCGTAAAGGCCATGAGCCCCCAACTTTCATCCGCATGCGCAGTAAACAATGCTCAAGAGCCGTGGACTTGCAGTCTAGCAGCAATTTTTGTCCTTGTGGAGCAACATTGTCAACCAAAGAGGATGTTTAAACAGATTATATTATATCGTTTTGTTAGATTTTTTTGTTATCCGTTTCAAGATGCCCCTTTCATTTGTCAAATTCCTGGCCAAATTGAAGCTATTATGCTGTGTGTCAGGCACTTGGAACTTCCGAACTGGCCCTAGCGGTCATCAACGCTGCAGGCCAGGGCGTTAGTAAGTAGAGCCTGGCAGTTCTGGGTTATCACAGTTCGTGTAGAGAGAGAGAGAGAGGGAGAGAGCGAGAGAGAGAGAGAGGGAGAGAGAGAGGGAGAGAGAGAGGGAGAGAGAGAGGGAGAGAGGGAGGGAGGGAGGGAGGGAGGGAGGGAGAGCAACAAAATCATCAGGAAGCCACAAAACTGACATATGCCATCAATATAGATTCTAAATTTTAACTATGTTAACTGTATCTCTTCATCTTGGGATCTCTTCGCCAGAATTATTGCCTTCCAAACAGGCTCACTGCTTGCCTGAACATGCCTGAACTCACTTCACGTCATAGATCTTCTCACGCGAACGCAAGCGGCCTTGACCTGCTCGTTCGGTGTTGAGAAGCCAGGCCTCCATGTTTGACAAAGCCTCCTTTGGGTCCAGGGATGTCCAGGGTACCAACATTGGTCATCAGTTGACCAAATTTCTACGGAAAGCATGTTGCTAAGCTTGCTTCAGGTCCATCTGCTGGTCGACATCTAGTGGCCACTTCTCGAGGAATTTGTGAGGCCTTTGGATTGACTGTATGGTAAGCGGGCTAACCCTGCGGAGACCCAAAGCAAAATAGTTACTGTACATGATGTTACATGTTGGAAGCTTCGTGCTTTTGGGCTTTACACTAATTGGGAATTGATGCAGAATTTCAGTAGATTTTGATTTTTGTTGAATATGGTAACGACTCGAGAGTGCCATGGACGACTGTAGAGCTTGGTTGAGAGAGCAGTGTGATCAGCGCCCTGTGCAACGATTCTGCAGTGCGCCCTGCCTTTGCTGAAGCATGTCGACCAGCTGTCGCCATCGCGTGCGCAGCTGCTCAGTGGATGATGTTCGTTCAAGGTGATTCGGACGATGACCTCACCGTAGACTTGGTTCCTTTTGCAGTAGATTCCTGTCATTCCGTTCGAAGATGCCCAGACTTTATTTTGGCCGAGTCCTTGTTGCGTATGTTATATGGAGTGTTTGTATGAGTATGGATTTGTCAAGTTGGTATCTTTAGCAGGAAGAGCGCTTGACAGTGGGTGGATTCTGGACTCTAAATGCTGACAGTGGCTAGTAGCTGACTGAACGGGAGTGTAGGAAGCACTCCTGATGATCCAGAAGCACACCATCACCTTGTGGAGGTATCTATGTCTGTGGAGGGTTTAATGGTGTTGCTTCCACACCACGTGCTGAGTTCCTTGATCTTCAGGCAGGAAGCTTTGATTTGATTGAAACAGATTCAATCAAGTTATTCTGGAGAGTTGCTGGCAAGGGTTATTCAATATTATTATCATCAAGTCGCTCTTGGTTTCCAAGCAAAATGCTGACCAGACCGTGTACAGTAAAATACAATATGTGTTTCCAAGTTCATACGACAACAACTTTGTGGATTGTGCTGAGGCAAGCGCTAGCACTTCCCTCAATCCGCTAGCAGACAGTTGTCGCAGGTAGGTGAGTGGCAAGCGCTGCCTTCCCTTTCCACAGCCCGGAGCGGGGCGACTTGCCTTGATTGTCACAAGTTTTTTGAACAAGATACCAGACGAGCATGGCCAACATTATTTCATAGAATTCCATGAAGCTTTTTTGCCGTGCTCCCTACATGCACAAATTACGTACGTCGAATGTGAAAGAGATGCTGCTGAATTGGAGACGGTCTTATTTCCTTTTTGGGTACGTACCTCGCTGCTTGAAAGTCTAGCAGCCAACAAGAACTGGCATATGCATTCCTGCTTGGTGAAGTTGGACTGACGGGACCTCGATTTTAAGCTTGTACTTATATATATATATATATATATGGATAATATAGATTCCTTGGGAGGACACCTCTGACAGACAGGCAGTGGCATTTTCGAGTCCATGGTCGTTCGTGCAATCGGACCGTGAGCCATGCCTGGCGGCCGACAGAGCGAGGTCGCAGCTGGTGTTCTCTTTGGCCGGCTGTACGTCGCCGGCGGGCAAGATGGCCAGGCTCTATGAGTGACAAGATGGCCAGGCAGTTTACAGCTAAACATTCACAGCTTGGCCCGGATCAGAAAGATGAATTGTCTCAACATGTTTAGATTTCTGACACATATTCATGGGAGTTTCACTCTTCGGTTCGTTGGACACAAACGCTTTGTTGACTGCACAGCTTGCGTGGCCGGTTTTGTCAATTCATTCCCTGAGTTTAAGCTCTGGGATTAGCTACTTATCTCCACACAAAATGCGAGGTCAACAAAGAGCCACCGGCAAAACTTATCCACAAAAAGCTGAATACCAAACAGGAATGCATGGACAATAGCTAAGTGAGCCAAGTAGCTTCCTCCCCATATCTTAGTATATTCATTTGTTTTGTCTAGATTCTCCCCTCCTTGGTTAAGTCCCTGTCAGAGTTCCATAGCAATTGAGTCTTCCCCTGTCTCAATTTTTCCTTTCCTCCTTGCGCCAGAATCTCTTTCCTGGGATTGCTTGTTTGTTCACTCCCCATGTCCCACATTTCCCTACTATTGGTCATTCAACACGTCCCCAGATTGCTGAGTCCATGAGCTTGGTCCATTTCATCTCAGACATGCTCGTGTCCTGTCTCGCACAGGGGCCAGAAGGAGCATGTCTTGTGCTCTAACAAAATTCGACGAAAATCATAGAAAATCATGGGTGTTGACGACCAAGGCGCCAAAGTTTTTAAGACCGTGGAGTGTTTTGACCCCAAGTACAGGGCTCAGATGGGTGAGCTGATTTTGGTGCATTGCAGCGGCAAGCAGCATGCGAATGAAACGAAAGATCAAGGTCAAAGACGTGGGAGAGGTTGCCGCCTTTGCAGGTTGGGGCCATTGCTGGTCCGGGGCTGGCGCTGAAGTTAAGAGTGGAGTTGAGATTCTGACACGAACTTGTGAGAGGATATGACAGAACAGTTTTTAGCAGCGTGTTTGTTGGCGTATTATTGGGATGCTGTCTTCACGCATTGAATTCATCGCACGCCCGCGGTCACCGACCACATGCCTCCTTTGCAGGAGGCGAGAGCGTGTGCGATGGCCGTGGACCCAATGGCCATGTGTTGCTTTGCGAATTCATTGAGGATGGGCTCTCCATTGAGAGGAGCCTACTAGGGCTTACTAGGGAGCAGGATGGCACTTTGAGGGTAGTCACTGAATTCACCATGAGAGTCGTCCCAAAAACCCACATATAAGGATGCTACTAGAGGCTCCTGGCCTTACTGTACTAGGAGCCTACTAGGAGCAAATTCGCTCACCAGAATGGCAGTCTCGGACGTTGGGCTTAAGGCAACGTCCATCCACGATCGCTTGCTGATCTGCGGGGGCTATGATGATATTCAGTTCTTGAAGCCAGACCCTTGACTTTAAACGTTCTTGGTCAGTGCCTTTGTTTTGAGGGGTACTTGTACCAAATGCGTCCTCAGCGGCCAGAGTTTCTCGCTCCTTTTCACATTTGTTCACCGATGTAAAACAAGATATTGCGAAGATTGATTGGTTGCAGGTCTGCTGAATGCTTTGATCCCATCAAAAAGAGGCATGGAAAGCGAGCCAAAATGAGAATCCTTGTGTTTCGTCATGCCTTGTCATCGACTTATCATGCTTCAAATGTGATTTGATCAACAAAAAACTGAAGGCAGATCTCGTGCTGAAATCAAAAAAAGCGAGATCCACAAAATCAGATGGGTTCAGTGTTTGGAGATGGGAATCCGCCAGGACAAGACCCGTGTCAATTGCCTTGCTTAGTCTGTAGACTTCAGCGTCAAACACCCCCTCCCCTCTTTGAAGGAAGCAGACGATGCGCCAGGTGGCATGCCCTGCCAAGCATGCAGTGGCCGCACGGAGCCACAGAGCCGCACGGAGCCACACGGAGCCCGCCCAGTGCCGTGCCCGGAGGGTCTCTCCGTGTAGTGCACCAAGGCGCGAGGGTGCCGCCTGTGTGCAACTTCGTGGCCGGCTCTACATGTGTGGAGGTCACTGAACTCAGATGTCTCCATGAGGTCCAAGCCATTCGCATCGCATTCCCATCCCGAAAAAAAGGACGTAAAGGCCGTGATTCTCAGACTTTTGGATGTCGTTCTTCCGCTCTGTTTGTTTTCCTTCAGGTTTTGGATTTGGATCTTGTTGCGGCGTAGACATTGGTAGATGCAGTAGGATTGTGGTGCTTTGGAATTCTTGGAATCTTCTGAGGCTTCTCTGGAACGCACTACCTCAACAAGGCCCTTTGGGCTTGCTATCAAATTTTCAACTCTGGACACGAAGACGCCATGACACCAAACACAACAATATGTTCGACCATGCAAGCGACTCATGTTTCCAGGCATGCCCTTCCGTTCATGAGCCCTTCCGCTAGAACATGTCGACACTCATACTAGTACCTCCAAAAACACAGACACACACACAAGCTGCCACACGGCGTCGCTCACCAAAAGCTCAGATAGTCGACGTTTGCGACCGCATCGATATGGGGTTGCTTAATGGTTGCTTGATGTTGCATGTCTCACCCAAGCTGTTGCTCCGTTCGTAGCGATGCCGTTTGCTCCTAGTAGTAAGGCCAGGAGCCCCTAGCAATGTCCTTGGTGCATAGAAACAGACTCCTCCACTTGATCAAGATTCCTTCAAGGTGGAATACTTCGACTCCACCAATGGATGCTGGCAGTGCTTGCCTCGATGTTCCTAGACGGGCTTCATCGGCTTCATTGTTGCGAGAGAGACCAAATTCTGGCGTTGTGGAATGAGAGGGGGGTGAAGTGGTCTTTGAGGAAAGCTCCAGCCCTTGAGGAAGGAAGGCCAGAATGTATCTCCAAATTCATCAGCAAAGGGTTCTCAGTCCTCAGTCAACGAAAGTGCTCTTCAAGAACGGTCTTGGCATGCCTTTTCTATGTGAGCAGTGTTTTTTCAATAGCATGAGCTGCAGCTGTACGGTACGGAGGGTTCAAACAATTGCATAGCCATCCCGCAGGCATGGAGCAGCAGCTGCTCGCTTGGGTCCCAAGGTGCGGCTCGAAACCGTGGGTACCGAGGCAGGTACCGAAGACCGAGGCAAGGGCTAACACGTGGTGAATGGATGTTGAACTCGGGTGCCAAGATTTCGACAACCAACTGTTGTACAGGCCCTCGTACCGGTTGTTCAACTCCATTTGCAGCTGGGTATAAAGACCCTGGATTGACTTTGAGCATCTTTGAGCCCAAAAGCTCCTGATGAGTTGGAGGTGATTGTTTGCGGTGGACATCAAGGAGCTCGAGTCCGCACCTGACAGAGAACTGCATTAATACGTGAGCTTAAGTGAGTATTGATGGCCAATTTATGCCAATTTCAATGGACGTCTACCTCTTGTTTAGTTCCCGCAAGCTTACGAATTCCTGTGGACGCCCGAAAAAGCTGCTGCTGCTGGCATGCTGGCTTGAAGGTACTCCGCTCAGTGGAGTGCTTGGATACTCGGGAAGGGGTTTGGCAAAGGCCGAGCAACGCTGGACTCGGCTGACGGCTCGACTCTCGCATTCCATTCGTACAAGCTGAACTTCCGACCGTGACCGTTTGATACAAAGCACGCGGCCATTTCAGGTACTTTCACGTATGTTCTTTCTTGTGGTGTGTTTCCCTGCTACAGTAATCACATGTAATCACTTAATCTGGTGCTACATCGGTATCCGGTATATTATATATGCCAAGTTAATAGTATTTGTAGCGCATCTTGAATAACAGATTGCACCCATACATCATCACAAGCCCAAGTCCGTTGTGCCAGGCTCGCACCGATGAGCGTGAAGCGGAAGAATGCTTCCATTACGTCAGTGGGAGGCAGGACGAAGCAAGCAGGCAGACGTAAGGATGCCATTTTCCCTTGGCGGTGAACATTACAATTACTACATTGATTGTTCTTATTGATAATGCCATTGAGAAGTGAAAAGGGTATAGAAGGACTGAGGACTCGATCTATTTCATTCTACTTCCCTTGTTATGTCCGCCTGGAGTGTGTTGAAAACGCCTGTGCTTCCCACATTTTTCTTCGGAAGCTCGCGTTTCGTGCGCTTCCTGGGCAGATCGCCATGCCAGGTCTGCTCTTTGTGTTCGGTGGGTGCGACAAGGCAGCCGATCCATTTTTTTAATGATGATTGCCCACCTGGGCTCCTGGGTGTTCTTCATGTCTTCAACCTGGACCTCAAAAGGGTGTTTTTCTTGGCTGCCTTTGATGCGGGGAGTGAGGGGACCTGATCCAGTCACAGTCTGCGTGCTCCAAACAAGGATTGCCAGGATTGCTGCTGATTGCTGCGACCCCATTTCGTGTGTAGAGATTCCGTATCAATTCCAGTGGCGGCAATAGGCAAGATGGCAGACACGAGAAAGTTCGAACATGCTTAATTTGTCCACTACTGGCCGAAGGTAGCTCTTAGATCTTCTTAGATCCTCAAGATTGAAATTGCGGCACTTTGAAACTTTGGTCATTTATTATGATATATGTCATTTATTTGGCTTCTCTCATTTTTCCGAGCGCACATGGACCAACGTGTGGCGTGAACGCACATCGCACCTTGCGCGCGTGCGTTCACGCCTTTCCCGTCGCAGGAGAGTTCCTTAAAGCAAGCGGAGTGTTTCGACCCAACGAGTCCGAAACTCATCAGCCGTCCCCGAACAGCCTTGCGGTGGAAGTGCTAATAAAGTAACATTCGGACGCTACTAGGAACAAAGGGCATCGCTACTAGCAAGGACGCTACTTGGTGCGCTCCTGGCCTTACTACTAGGAGCAAGAGCTCCTAGTAACAAGAATCAAGCAGAAGTTGAGTACCGTGTGATAGAAGGAAAGGTGCCAAGGTGTTTCACTCGTTTTTCTGCCAAGACTGGACACCTTTCATGCAGGGGAAAAACATTGTGATTAGGCAAGAGGCTAGAACTTACTGCAACGATTTCATTCAGCATTTGCCCAAGTGTATGGAATGGTCATGGCCAGTGATGCCGGTCGTTTGGATTTGCACCTATGGTCGCACCTGACGCTGAACTCAGACGCAGAGGATGTCTTAGGGCTTTACCGGAATTTGCATCCTTTGCGCTTCAACCATCGGCATATCTATTGGAACGAGCAGAAGTCACACCTTCTCGTCTTCCTCCACTTGGGTCAACATGGCTCATGGACTTTGTGCAAATGGCAAGGTCCAAGGGGCGCGAGCTCGACACTGACCAAGTTGGTGGCCAGATGTCGCCGCGGAATAAAGGCGACCTATCAGACACTTCGGGTGAGACGTAGTCTTTGGCATGGAGGCGCTGGCAAGGTCCGCGCTTTGGTTTTGCCGGCAGGCAAGCAATTCTTTTTCAACAGTACTGGAAACTTTCAGGAAATTCTCACCGAATTTGCTGCTGCCCCAGATGTCATTCAGAAGAGACTGGGGCTTCTTTCCTCTCGTGCGCGCACTACGATGGCCGACCCCAGCTTCTTCATGGCCGATCTCTCGCGAATGGTGGGCTGGATGGATCGGCCGCCATTGAATCTGTGGACGTTGGGGACCTACTTTTATCACGTGGCACATGCCCAAGTTCCAGGTTCGCCCTGCTGGGGAGGTGGATACATGCCACAGATGTGTTGTCATGCACGCATCAGTCCGGAAAAACTCTCGTGGTGCTTCGGCCGCATTGAGGGAGACATGGTGGAACATTGCTGTGCTAGATATTTGGAACATCCGCCCGTGGGTAGAGTTGAGATGCCTCCAGTACGTCCGTTGTTTTCCCGGATCTCGGTACAAATCTTTCTCCAAAGCTACAACGAGGATCGGTTTGCACTTCTGCCCTTCTTGGAGTCAGTTGAACGCTTTTGGCCCAAGGACTGGAAATCACGGGTCTTTGTAGCAGTCGACAACGTGACAGCGGATCACCAGATGTGTGAAGCGCTTTCGTCCAGAGTGACTTGTGTCGTAACCGAAAGCATTCCTCGTGGGCCTTCTGTGATTGACTCTATTGAATGGAGCGGACGCGGCGTGAGCGAGAGATATCACAAACTGCTGTTGCAGTATCACTATTGGCTTGCAGACATATATATAGCACAGCATGTTAAAATGCCAGACTGGATTGCTTGGTTTGACGCTGATGTTGTCATCCACACACCACGAGTGGAAGAGTTGCTGATGCCATTTGGCCTCCCCGTTCACTTTGCCCGTCGCTCAATGCAGAATTCAATGGAGACAATGTCATTGGGCCTTGATTGGGTTGGGGAATTCATGGACACATTCCCTCAGCTGGTACGGCCTAGCCACTTGCAGCATTTCCGTGCATTCGTTAAGAAGATGTTTAACAAAGATAGCTTTGAAGAAGCATACCACGCTTGGCGCCAAAGCATTGAAGAAGCAGCTTTGGTTCATGGTAAGTTCTACGGCTACCTCTCAGAGGCTGAAGGGCCTCAGAGTTCATTTCCAGTGTTCTTATATCATTTCCACCACGAGGAATTCACTTGGGCCCTTGAAGATGCTGCTGCCTTTGGACTTCCCTTGGAGGATTCATGCTTGTCATTCCGTGTTGCAAGTCATGTAAGTCAGTGGAAGCACAAAGTGAGGGAGAGCAATTGGACGGAAGCAGCATATGCACAGCGCGCAAGGCGGTTGATGCAACTCGGACAGAGGAACAGCCGGGTGCTTCGTATAGCCTTGTTGAGTGCCAACTTCAATCCTGAAGGCACCTGGAGTCAGAGGAGCTCAGCCCATTGCATTGAACGTGACCGAGAAACCATGCTATGGCGATTTTTCCAGCAACGCAAGCTTCTTTGAGGCAGAGGAATCGATTGCAAGCGCTCCCCCACCATTCGCTCGGGTCGGCGGATACAGATATACACGCATGTTCTTGAACTTGCGTGGATCCGTGGCCTTCAAATGCCTTGAGCTGACCTGATACATTAAATGTGTTCTCGTTGAACTCGATTTCATGTGTGGAGGCTGATGGAGGCTGCCTCACAAGAGCAGACTGCCGGCTGCGATTCGAATTTATGTGGCAGAGAAGTGATCAGCTAGTACCACGCCACCAGCCCCGTCGATCGAATTTCCTTGGACACCATGAAGCACCTCTGTGGAACACTTGTCGAAATGTCCCATCAATGAGGCACAAAAAGGCTCTCAGCAATTCCTTGGAAGAGCCTTTTTTCACATCCACGAGGGAATGTCAAGTGAAGCAATACAATAATACATTGCTGAATCATAGCATGCCAAGGTGATAGCTGGCGATCACTTCCTGACATGTCCTGATCTGAGGCAGAAATCACTTCAGGTGCTGACATTGTAAGAATTATGATTTTGGAACGGCAAGTGGAGGTCTGGATGGAAGACCGGAGCAAAGCTTTTCCTCTGGGTCTGCTACCCGAATGGCTGGCCTCTCCATGCTTGAACGCTTAGGTCCTGCAAGCGTGCAGGTGGCTCGTTGGCTGTCGCAGCTGGACAGATATTTGTCATAGGCGCAGCTTGGCGCAGCCACATGCGAGTGCACACAGAGTTTCTGACGTCTTGAGATTGACATCTCGCGGCTCGCGGTTTTTTTGAGATTTCGGAAGACCTTATTTAGACTCTAGACCCTCCATCCCAGACTTCGCGGAAGTCATCGTCAGTCTTCAGTACCTTCCTGTTCTTCTCCCGGGCACCATCCGCACCTTGCAGGCGGAGCGGACGGTCACACCTGCCATCAATCAGTTGAATGTGAGGGCCATGGACTGGTGGGCTCCGATTGGGTCAAAAGCACTTTGAGCATTTCGGTGGGAGCGATCCAAAGTGCTCCTGAACAAACTGGCATATGACACAAAGATCTTCTTCAGTACGCAGAAGGCAACTGATCCTTATCAGTGACCCTAAATCATTGAACATCCATCTAAATCATGCAGCTTCTGAGTCCATTTTAGATACTCCATGTGCGATTTTGTTGTTTGGTGATAAGTGACAAGATATGATAAAGATTCTTTCATCGTCCAGTGCTTTTGGTCCTGAGAAACTTGGAAATGCCTGCCTTGTGACCCGACGAAAAAACCCGCCTCTAGTAGCCTCTTGCTCCTAGTAGTAAGGCCAGGAGCCCCTAGTAGCATCCGATCTCTCCTAGTAGCGATGCCAGGAGCCCCTAGTAGCGAACCGTGTTACTCCTTCAGTCAGGCTTCAATGTCGTAGAGAACATGTGGCAGCCTGTGACGCCCTCAGAGCGTTCGCCGCCGTGGCATTTCATTTTTTCTATGGCAACATTTTTGTAAAGTAGCCATTTCATAGGGCCTATAGGGAATGCATGTCAGGTTTGCATTGCCATTGCATTTCATTGCGTTTGTCTCTTGCATTCCATGTAGCACCCATGGCCTGGCTCAGGTAGCACCCATGGCGGAAGGCCGCAAAGCGGCCGCAGCGGTGACGATCATGAGCTGACGCATCCAACATCCCACGGTTGAGTCTCTGATTCTGGAGAGGTGTTGTTTGTTCTTGGTTTTCTATGGTTTTCTTATTTCTTTTAAGAAGAAGACAAGCGCCTGAAACAAGACGTTCTTATTATATCTTCCTATAAGACCTAAGACGATTCGTCTCTATTTTTGACAGTTGATTTCTGGGAACCATATCAATTAGGATCCTTCATGGCACTGGTCCACCAAGAACCTCAACAACTATGAGTAACCTAGCAATTAATTGGTGTTTGAAGCTGCGGCATCTGGCAGCGACCATTGAACACCCGTCTTGAGATGTTCTGCAGACTGACTGGAGCACTTTTAACATGGCGGTGATCTAAAGCTTTTTGAACTTTGGTCACCTTTGGCTCCTATGGACCAAACAAATGGTGCCTGCTCCCACTTCTGCGCCCCGGTTCGCGTGGCCCATCTTCCTGCTTTTCATGCTGCGCAACGAACCCATTCCTCGTGAGCCTCGCGAGGAACGGACCTTCCGCAGGCGAAAAGCTCATGTGTAGTCACCGAAAAGCTCAGAAGAAATTGGCCATCCGAATCCGATCCTGAAGACACGTTTCTTTTGATGAAATGATGAGGCTTATGGACTAATAAGGTGTATCATGGGTCTATCAACATTTGCTAAGATTCAGCAGGCGTATCATAAACACTGTGTCACCAGAATTCACTGGGTGCTTGTTTTGGCATGGGCCCGACTCTGGTTTCAGTTATTTGTCTTTTCTTGGTTGAGCGCCGGAGCATGTGCTCGAGCCTTTAGCGGAATGAACCGGGCCTAGGGTTTCTACGCAATGTGCTTTGTACAGTTCGTTCCTGGCAGCACCATTGCGCTGCTCGAGAAGCTACCCTCACAGGATCTTCTCATGTGCATGAGGTTTCTTTGCACGCGCTGCTCGTCTAGTGACATTAAGAATTCCATGGCCCAGAGGCCAATTCGGCTTGTCCCAAAGTCGAGCGATATCGAATACAACGTGAGCAAGGTCTGGCGCCGATCGTGCATGGCTGGCCCAGCTGAATTGGCTGCTGGTTCAAAAGTGCTTACTTGTGAAAGAGGAAGGTGCATCGCCTGTACGTGAGTTTCTGCCACTTAGAATATTTGTTTGCTTCACACACACACACAAGGACACATGCTGTGTTTGTTGCGCAAGAAAGTCAAGTCCTGTCAATGCCACCCTGGCTTCCATACAATCATTTCATTTGATGTTGAATGACTTCGATCAGAACTCGCTTGAATCAACACATGACAGACTGGCATCATTCTATGTGCTGGTTGTGAGAGGCACCAATGCCCACTATGCACCAACCCGAAAGCCAATTGAGCTTCATTGCCCACCTTGGGCGTGCAGGCAAAAGGATGCCAAATGTCCAACAATGATGATAGACCCAACGCCTTTCAAAAGGGGTGTTTTGGCAACTAGGAGTGAAGGGTAGTTGCTCGAATTCAACGACCTACAAGACTCAAGATACTCAAAAGCATTCTTCTAAGTCCCGTGCACAGGAGATGCACCTCAATTGTAGAGCTATCACATGCCTGGCCTACGCATCATTTTGCAGGTTTGATACCCAGATCACGACGCTTTCCATATGAGCAAGGACACCACTATACATATTATATATATATATACTATATACAGAGTCCCTTCAGCTCTTAGACCAACCTGACCCACCTGACCAAGACTTGACTAGACCTCTCGAATCCTTTCGACCCACAAAGATCTGCACTGGCACCGCTCCGCGGGGTGCACGATGGGGTCATGGCCTCGGGCCCGCGGAGGGGGAAACAACACGGAGCAGCGGCGTAGGGATTCACCGCGGAAGAAGTGGTTTTAAATTGTTTCAAGACTGAACGCATCTGAACGCATTATTTCTTTTTGCGAGACTGAACGATTTTTATTTTTTGGCGAGTTCATCGCTTACAACCCATTATATAGCACGAGCATCGACTGAGAGATTTTGAGAGCCATTTTGTTTTGCACATGGGCATCATACCTTTTGCATATGATGATCCTTAGGCAGTTCCTTTTAAGATATACCTACGCTATCCTACGCTTTGCAAATCTTGTGTTCTGCCTAGTGAGTAGAGATAGTAGAAGATGCAGTAGAAGGCTCAGAGGGCCAATCTGGCGAATTGGTTGGTGAGAAGATAGAACTGAGAAATTCTACAAGACTGGGGGTCTCCAGCCTGTCACCGGGCAAAGAAGCAAAACCTTGAATACTGAAGTAGAGCTGTAAGATGCGTGGAGGGCAGAAGGATTGTACTCGAGTTTCTCTTCGGCCTAGGAAGGGGTGAGAAAAGGTTTTCGTGCCGGTGACTGTACGTGTGTCAGTGTGCCAATCAGCAATAGGCTTCGTCTGCGTCAATGTCATGCAGAGGAGCTGATTCCTTTGTTGGCTTTAGTTTACATGAAGTTTTACGTTTGTCGGATTGGGATCGTGTTTGCATGTGTTTGTTTATTTGCTATGAATTAATTGAAGATTGAGAGTTTGTTTATATAATCCATACCGCATGAAGCACGTACCGCCAAGGAGCAAGTTATTCACAGTACGCAGTAGGCACTTGCAAAGCTCAAAGCTGTTTTCACATATTTTCAAACATCTGACGGTTCACGCCATACGATGGTGCATGGTTCACCTGGTTCACCAGTAGTTCACCCATGGCGACGGGTCATTTGGATCTGAACCTTTGGACGCGAGCGGCTTCGCTGAAGTCCGATGCACAGGGTGTCTTAGGAGTGTACCGGAATCTGCACCCCATGCATGTCTACATGAACGAGCAGAAGTCACACCTTCTCGTCTTCCTCCATTTGGGTCAACATGGCTCATGGACTTTGTGCAAATGGCAAGGTCCAAGGAGCGCGAGCTCGACACTGACCAAGTTGGTGACCAGATGTCGCCGCGGAATAAAGGCGACCTATCAAAGTCTTCAGATGGAGCGATCTCTCTGGCATGGTGGTGCTGGAAGCTACAGAACACTGCTTTTGCCGGCAGGCAAACAATTCGTTTTCAACAGTACTGGAAGCTTTCAAGAAATTCTGGTGGAATTTGCTGCTGCCCCAGATGTCATTCAGAAGAGACTGGAGCTTCATTCGTCTCGCGCTCGGACATTGGATCCGGACTTTTTCGTGGCTGACATCAGCATGGTTGTGGGTTTCTTCGACCGGCCACCATTAAATCTGCAAACCCTGGGTACGTACTACTATCATGGTGTTTTTCTCAATTCGCAGGGTGGTTCGCCATGCTGGGGTGGTGGATACATGCCACAGCTTTGCTGTCACAAACGCATCTCTGAGGATCACCTTCTGTTTTGTTTCGGTGAGAAGGCGGATGTTTATGCTGTGCATTGCTGTGCCAGATATTTGGAGCCCCCGCCCGTGGGTCGCGTTGGGATGCCTTCTTCAGTACGTCCGTTGTTTTCCCAGATCTCGGTACAAATCTTTCTCCAAACCTACAACGAGGATCGGTTTGCATTGCTACCCTTCCTCGATTCCATTGAACGCTTTTGGCCCAAGGACTGGGACTCACGGGTCTTTGTAGCAGTCGACAACGTGACAGCGGATCACCAGTTGTGTGAAGAGCTTTCGTCCAGAGTGACTTGTGTCGTAACCAAAAGCATTCCTCGTGGGCCTTCTGTCATTGATTCTATTGAATGGAGCGGACGCGGCGCGAGCGAGAGATATCACAAACTGCTGTTGCAGTATCACTATTGGCTTGCAGACATATATATAGCACAGCATGTTAAAATGCCAGACTGGATTGCTTGGTTTGACGCTGATGTTGTCATCCACACACCACGAGTGGAAGAGTTGCTGATGCCATTTGGCCTCCCCGTTCATTTCGCTCGTCGCCCGATGCATTACACAATGGAGACAATGTCATTGGGCCTTGATTGGGTTGGGGAATTCATGGACACATTCCCTCAGCTGGTACGCCCTAGCCACTTGCAGCATTTCCGGGCATTTGTTAAGAAGACTTTTGAACAAGACAGCTTTGAAGAAGCATACCAGGCTTGGCGCTCAGCAACTGCAGAAGCTGCTTTGGTTCATGGCAAATCATATGGCTATCTCTCTGAAGGGGAGTGCCCCCAAAGTGCATTCCCCAATTTCTTGTACCACTTTCATCATGATGAATACACCTGGGCCTTGGAAGATTCTGCTGCGTTTGGGCTGCCGCTAGCGGATTCGTGCTTATCCTTCCGTGCCGCCAGTCACTTAAACTCCTGGAAGCACAAAGTGCGGGATCGAAATTGGACTGAAACAACATATATCCTGCGTGCGAAGCGTTTGATGCAACTCGGGCAGAGGAACAGCCCAACGTTGCGCGTAGCCTTGTTGAGTGCTAATTTCAATCCTGCAGCCACATGGAGTCAGAAGAGTTCGGCCCATTGCGTTGATCGAGATCGAGAGACAATGCTCCGAAGATTCTTTGACAAAGAAGTGGCAGTCACATGCTGTTTCCGTGCTTCTGTTTGTGAGTTTCCGTGAAGTTGGAGAAGTTTGGGGTGACTTTGCAGCAACCTCACCTTAGGCTAACAACTTAGGTCCTTCACGGTTTACACTTGATGAGATGTCACACATTTGGCTAGATCAGCCGTGATCAGCCTGTTTTTGTGAATTCTTCCTCAAGCACAGACAGCACAAGATATCAAACATTAGTAGACAATAGACATCAATAGTCAATCGACATCAATAGACCAGGTCTGTAACCAATGATTCTGAATGAGCAAGTCGTTTGATCCCACCTTGGAGATCTATATCTACGCGGCCTGCATCAAAGTTGCTTTTGTCCCTCCCCGGTTGCTAACAAGGCAACCTTTTCATTTGCCAACCCGACACAATCCATGTTTTCCGTGCCCAGGCAGTCTGCTTTGACGCCGGCTGAGGCAAAACAGGAATTCTGTTTGTGTTCCTTTCGAAGCGACCGGATTAGGGTTTTGCTACGTACTAGTAACAAAGGGCATCACTATTGGTAGCAAGAAGCTACTACAGTAGTAACAAGGGCATCGCTACTTAGTCTAGTAGCTTCTAGCTGCTGGTAGGGATGACCTTTGTTACTAGTAGCGATGCCCTTGTTACTAGTAGCGATTGAGCAAGCAATAGCCAGCTGGTTTGAGTATCAATCTGATTACCCCCGTGCCTTGTGAAAGGTTGAAGACCTTGCAGCGGGAGAAGATGTGGCAGGTCCGATAGTCTAAGTGCCCTTGGACCTTTCTCTACATGTGGTGAGCGTTTTGCAGCAGCTATGCTACTGCAGCGTGGAGAATTGAATACTTTCGGGAAGAGACACGCTTTTCGCCAGGACCCAGAGAGGTCCGCAGGGATGGCTACCCACAGGTGAAGCAAAATGAAGCGGCGACCACGCGCAGAAATTGTTTTTTGATCCTTTGTAGCTTATATTGTCTTTTGAGATCACTAAGCACTGGATCTTGAAGCACATACGAAAGCAATACATATATATTATATACTATATATATTACATAGTATTAGTATGAATGTTTTATATTTATGTACATGCAGGAAGTCTCATCAGAAGATTGACGCACGGCGTTCAGCAAGCGGGTGTCCTTGTGGTCCGGAAACTCTTGCTGGACCCAAGTTACTTCATATGCAACGTCAAAGGGCATGCAACACACTTTCTCCACGTCGGCGCCCGCAACTTTTGACCTGCGTCGACCGAATGTGTTTCGGCCACGAACGGCAGACCAAAGCAACGCCTCCAAAGCTGATGTCAGTGGAAGGCATCAGCCGGAAACTTTGAGTGCGGTGCAATCCTCCCTTCGTCTCACTTCGACTGTATGAACAGATCACGGAAGACTGAATATTGGAATACATGGGTGATTTTGTGCAATAGTGTGTGATTGTTTAAACATGAGATTGATGGCAAGTAAGTGTAAAGCAAATCGTGTGATTTCTCAATTTAGGGTTGACTGAAAATCCCCAAGAAATGGTGGGAGGACATGACAAACTGCGTGCCTTGATCTCAGTCGCTGTCCAAGGCCCCAGCAGCAGCAGTAGAAGTAGAGGCCAGTGGACAAATACATGTCATGTCACAGGGAGCAGCACAGGGGTCCGCGCTCTCGATTTTCATGGGTGAGAGCACTGCGCTTCATTTTGAGTCCGAAACAAGTCATGGGGGTCTTATTGGGAGCCGAAACGAGCACGTTTTGGTGTCCCTTTTTCAGACGTTTAGCTTCCTCCAGGACTGGAAATCCAGGAGTCAGAGGCGGATGCGCTTCTTCTGTATGCTGAGACTTGGCATTTGGCAAGAAGCGATGCATATGGGTGATGCAAGGAATCCAGCTTGATACTTATAGTTGATGATGATGCATCAATTAGGGGGAACAATCCGGGAACAGTCTGTCATTTTCTGTGGTAAAAGACAACGCTTTGCGCCATGCAAGCCAAACATTACTTGGGGAGCCACACCTCAAGGATCTACGACAGCTTTCCACTCTGTGTTTCCATTCATGTTTGCTCAGGAATAAGACTCCTTGTTTGATTTTTTTTTAAATGGCGTTTTTCTCGTTACGCCCCAAGGAGCAACAGATGCAAAATGGCGGAGATGACCGTTGGCTATCAAAGCTGCCCAGAGATGTACTGGACTCAGTGGCTTCGCGGATGTATTTTTCTCCAGGTTCCGAACCGGTTTCTTCGCTTCCACTTGAAGTTGGAGCTATTCATTTGTTTGTCATCATAATATTGATGTGCTGTTTTCCTAGGTCATTGTGCAAGAAGTCATATTCTGTGCTGTTTTTGACAATGTTTGATTTGGTCATAGTCTGTCCATTCTTGGATCGATTTCTGTTTGCAGGTCTGAATAGTCAGAAGAATACTGAAACAAGAGCAGAGCCTGCCTGCAGAGATCCTGCAGAACTGCCAAGGTCTCTGCTGCACAGGTTTGTGAAAGCATCGCCCAAAGCGCGGAGCTCTCGCCAATGCTTTTGTCGGTTTGTTCCCCTGGTGGATGAGATACACGACAGAGAGAAGCGTCGGACTGTATCACAAGACCGGAACATTTTGAACGCTTCCCACCTTCTGAACCTAAATTTGGCTCAACATGTGCCGGGAAGGCTACAAGCAGCGGAGAAAATTCACCGAAGCCAACATATGGATGAAGAAGGTGCCGAGAGAATGTCGACACATTTGATGAACGGTGATGAAGTCATCCATGAATCAAGATAGGGAGGTTGGTTGTGATTGTTTGCTGTTTGCTTCTTTCAACATTTTGCAGGCTCAGGCATATGCACCAAGTGGCACAACGTTTGGAGAGGCTCGAACAAGCTAGCAGTGGACTTCAATCCCGGCGACTCAGTTTTGAGGGCAGAATCTATATAAGTGTTTGTGCTGTGCAGTTTTTGAGTGGAATGCTGACATAGCGTAGACAAGACTGTTGCCTCGGACAATCAGAACCTGCTTCGACTACAGTTCACTCGTCTCAGGCCCCGCTGCAGAAAGGGCTACCTGGCAATCCTCAGGACTCAAGTTGCTCAAGCGCATACCCAAAGTCCAAGCTTAGGTGATGCAGAAAGGCAGACCTAGGACTTAGGACATCCTAGATTGCTGTCAATGGTTGTGTCAAGCAATTGGATCATTATTCTGGAACCTTGGGGCAGTTCTTGAATCGACGGTTATCCACTGATATCCACTGTCGCTTTGCTTCTATGCCCTTGACCAACCGGCTCAGGGTTGTGGCAAGGTATCGCTCCTGAGGATTGACCAAATCATTGCCTCACATGACTCACATGGGACCAATTCCTTCGCAAGTTCCTGACTTCTCTCCAGGAGATCAACTCAAAGCACTGCGGTCTTGTTTTCAGAGGGCTGTTTGGGACGGACCGAGTGGACACCGCTGCATTTTCAGCTTGACCACTGTCGCCGACATACTGTCCCGACCTGGCAGGAATGCTGTGACTAGTTCTTTTTAGTATCAAACAATATCATATATCAACCATTGTCGAACATGAATTGACTGGTCAAGGGACAGTGCAGCACAAAACCATTCGGTTGAGTGCATGTACTGAAGGCCATTTCGGCTCGATTTTTTTTACTTTTTGTGTTGTTTTTTGTGCCCACGACGGCAGAGTAAGGGTAGCAACAGAACTTGGGGAGGCAGACAACAAAATCAATATTGGGAGTGATTGACACAGACTTCAAGCTGTATTCCTGGCTTTTGAGCCGGGTTTTTTGAGGCCTGACTTGTGCGGGATGGAACATCAACCTTTCACACATACAAAAGCGGCTGAACTTTCATCACACACCTTGCCCAGACGCTGCTTCTGTCATTCTGTCACAGGTTGCATGGACTTTGCCGTGACCCCAAGCTAGCGCAAGTTGAGTTTAGTATGATTGAAATTGATGGAATACTATGATGAAGCTATTTTGTACTGCACAAGAATGTCACCACTGCATCTCACTGCTTTGTTATTCTGGGGAAGGGTATCCACCAGCAGTTTCCAGCGCATGAGCAACGACGTACGGAGATACTAGTGACAAGAGATTGGGAGCGCAGACAGAGGTTTCATTGGTATCTCAAGGAGGGCTGCTTTGGAAGGCGCATGACTTGTTGCAGCCCCTCAAGTCGAAGTTTGCGGTTCTGTCTTTCTCTCATCTGCTGAAATTTGTGTTTCTGGTTATGCTTTGTGATATTTTGTGATCATGTTCATGACTGGTCAGATATGAGACCTGTGCTGAACCAGGCTTGGGTTGCTTGCCACTACGAGCGACGTCTCAAGCGCAGGGGCCCCTTTTCAAGGGATCTAATCCAGGCCAAGCTGTCATGGGCTGCATAGATAAGTAGAGCGAGGCTAAAGCACATCAGACTCTGGTGATCTCTTGTGTAATTTAGTTTTTCGCTAATGAGACAGACATGTTGATGGACAAAAGCCTTTGTCGAGGTCCCGACTATTTGTTTGGGCCCAAGCTTCTTGAGACTGGCTGCCACAAGCTTCTGAAAAAGCACAATATACTGAGGAATGCCGACGTGAAGGGAATATGCACCTACATCATGGAGAATATGGGTGAAGATCCCAGACGTCGTACATGTCATCAAGCTTTTTGTCCTTCCAAGTTTGCCGTGCCTCCTCGTTCTGCTGCGTTGGTCCGTGCCGAGGTCGTATCCCACTGAGATGCTTAGGCGAAGACCCCCTGATGACAGACGGCGGCCAACGTCATCAACCATGCAGTCGCCATCAAGTGAATTGCTCATGTCCAGTTCCTCGTGACTCGTCGAAACATGCTTCTCGTCTGCCTCTGTGCAGGTCATCTGATGCTTGGCATCTTGAGACTCTTGCTCAAACAGGCTTCAGACTTGGAGACCAAGGCGGAGGAGGCTCCGAACGATGCGGAACTCGCCGAGAACGCGAAAACGCGTGGGTTGTCCGATGTGGTTCCGCAGCAGAGAGGTTCCCAGTCATCTTTTGGAGCGATGCAGTAGTCTTTTGTCTTGGACATGTAGGACATTGTAGGACCTGGCTGCCCAAATGTGCAGTATTCTTCTCTTGGCCGCCCAACTCGAACTACCTATGTTTCAGCCTATTGCTGTATGCCTTCGCAGGTATGTTAATGATTGTTAATGTATATTAATATGTTGGGTCTGTCCTATTACCTGTAACAGTCAGTAAACAATTATCACTATTTTTGGACAAGGCATCTACTAACCATCATCATCCACTGTTACAGGTAATGGGATAGACCCAATCAATATGTATATTACATATTACACACATATACATATATAATAAAAAATAATAATATATATCAACATAAATATTTTATTGCCATGAAGCCTTCACTTGCACAGTTCCTTTGGCAATTTGTCAAGCAAACAATTGTCAGGTTTTACTCTTTTGACTGCAGTGATCACAGATAGTATCAGATAGCTCCTTTTTGTGATTGCACCAGAGCAGAACATTTCAGGATTGCGATTGATTTTGCAGGTGAGGAGCGCTCTCCATATGAGCTTGTCGACAGGCACGTGCATGCGCGTGCCAGAGTAAAGCTGGGTGCTGTCCTGCCGGTTTGAAACAGGTCCTGGGCTGCCAACGGTGCCCATGGTCTCTGCTGCGGCAGGGTCCTTGGAAGTGCGGCTCGAAAACAGGAGCTTCCAAGACCAAAGAGAGGAGTGACCAGAGACTTGGTGACCCTTTGAATTCACAGAGGATGCGTTGCTATGTGTCGTGTCCTTGTTCCAAACTAAGTCCGTGACGCTTCGACATGCACACGGGGCAGTTCCCATGCTAGACTTTGGAGATGCCGTGCCTGGGTACGGGGCCAAGTGGAGACAATTGCATCATATATGCGTTTTCATGTCTTTCAAGAGGCCAGGCCAGAATATAAAGCATGAATTGAATCATTATAGGCCATGTTGCCTCATCTTGCCCGGCTGAGAGCTTGCAAGAAGACAAGCAGCATCATAGCTCTTGCTGTGCGACGTACATGCAAGCTAATCTACTGAAAAAGCTGTTTCTGGTGCGTCTTTTGGACGCCAACATGGGACCCTGGGATCTGATGGGATCTGGGAATTCTAGTTGTTGCACCAGGGGACCATACGCAGGTGCTCGTAAGATCTCGTAAGGGCGCACGGAGTTTCTGGACGTGCTTCGGCAGAGTTAACATGACGTTCCCGGGGGCTTGGAAAGTCATCAAATCAAAAGTCAACTTCTGGAGCTCGGTTTCTTGAGCGACAGACCTTCAAAACAGCGGCTCTAGTAGCGGCTCTGTATTGTCACTCAAAACTCCGTTTCAAGTCTTTCATGGTCTTCAGCTCTTCTTTGGGCAATCGGTCTTCTTCTTCCCCAAATCCCTGGTTTTTCCCCCAAGGCTTGACATGCTCATGGAGCCAGAGCTTCCCGAGTTGGAGGCCTTCGGTCAAAAGCGCGAGGCGTTCGATCCGCAGCCAAAGCGCCTTCCGAAGTGTCCGTTCGGGTCGTCGGCTGTCGACCTTGAGGTGGAGGCATCTCTAGAGGAAGGCCGTCGGCATGTGGCTCCTTTGTCGCTGATCACGTTGAGCAGATTCCTCAGCATTCACTGTCCTCTTCTGCTCCTGGGTACGTAAAAGTGAACGTTTGGGGTCGTATTCCAACCCAAAACTGAATAATATGGGCCATCCACCTTGTCACGATGATGTTCGCAAGTTGGGCAGACGAATATAGAAGAAAGATATATAAGAATGATGTGTTAAATGATGTTAAATGTGTAAAAGATGATGAGCCCCACCAGCCGCATCGTCCGAGGCTCTGAACCCACAGACCGTGACCGTGAAGCGCCCATCGTGGAGCTGGATGACTTTGGCGCCGTGAGCGCGGAGGCGTTCGAACAGTTGAGATCGGCTGCTGTGAAGGAAGGTTAAGGATGACCTGATGACTGCCTTTCCATTACTTTCTGACTTGGCTGTTTGTTTTGAAAGGGAATTGGAATGAAGTAGTGGATGATCAGGAATCAAACTCCCCACCTGAAGTCGTATGAGTGTTCTTTGTTGGACGTCTCTTGGAATTGGGAATCTATAGATTACACATTTGGGATATTTTGGGATCGTTTGGGATGACCGGGATGACCCTTTGGGAGGGGAGGTGCACATACTACTACCCCTGATGTTGGGACATACTTTCTCGTTGGATCCCTCATATTAGATTGTGTATTTGTAGGTTACACGTTGTTTCGCTACTGGATGTCACAATCACATTTCAATCAGACATGATAAATACTATATATATATATGTTATATGTGTGTAAAGCACGAAAAGAAAGGCTTGATTCATGAACATCACCAATTGATAGTACCTGATAGTACCTAAGTAACTTGCATCCACCAACGGCTCCCGCCTCATGCACCGACTTGCTTTAAGTGTCTTGCACCGAAGGATCAAGCAACGATGTCCTCCATGGCGGCGATGGGACAAACAGCGATGGCTGCGATGAACCCAGAAGCCGCCCCTCGCCATCGTGACACGGGTCAGGCGAGCCGTGATGACCTGTGAGCTATGTGCGACATGCCTAACCAGCTGTTTTCTTGTGGTCCTCAACCTCTGAACAATATGACCCTGTGGCCAGCCTCTTATCAGGATCCACCAGTGCCACCAACTCCCAGCGCAGTTCAGGAGGCTGGCAAAGCACTCTGAGGAGATTGTAGTCATACTGAACACAAAGGTGCTAGTGTCGCAGGACACAATGGGAGAACATTTAGTAAGTATGCTGATAGAATTCAATTGCTGCATAGGCATGTGATCAAGTCAAATTAGTAGATGCACACACACACACACACGACATTATATATACTATATATACATACAGTACATTAGGCGCATGTTTGTCATCAAGTCAATGAAGGAAGATTTAGCGTTGAGAAGCTTCAGCTTGCATGCCGCCCAGGCTGGGGTTTTGCAAGCTGCAGCTCCAGCAGCTCCAGAGACTGCTGGGTTCCAAAGGTTAGCTGCCGGGGATGCGCTTGAAATACATCAAAACTCCTCAGAACTGGATTTGATGTGTTTTTTCATCTCGTCGTTGAAAGCCCACCATCCATGCAGTTTGGACGCCACAAATTGTTATGCTTTTCCTCTTCACGCGGTTCTCCTCAGCGATGTAACGTTTCTGAGGCCCAGGAGCAGTCGGACGTGGAGCTTCCGCCGGTGGATTTTCTGCTTGGGGCAGACGGGGTCCCAAGTAGCTCACGAAGGGACAGGAAGGGCCAAATGTTAATGCAGTCCGCAGAAGACTTGGCTTTGGTATGTTTTTGTGTCTTTGGAATGCTTTGGATGTGATAAACCGCAGAGAAACACATATTAAGAACTGTCAAGCATTTTCAGAACTGTGACACCCTTAAGCCGAAGCCACCTAATCACTGGACTTTCTTAGGAAATAAAGAAAGACATTTCAAGAGGTGGATCCATTATGATTCATGATCCATTCAAATGGTATACAGACTATAAAATAAGAAGCAGTTGCGATATTGGAACACCTGTGCCGAGGCATCCTCCCCCGGTTTTTCGCCGAGACGACAGCTGTTCATGGAGGATGCAGAATGCTAGAGCCTCGAAAACGTCATGGCGATGTCCTTTGTTCCTAGTAGCTTCTTATTACTAGTAGTAAGGCCAGGAGCTAGTACCTTGCTCCTAGTAGCGATGCCCTTGTTACTGGGCAGCCAAGGTCGTCACCAACCTCCCGCCTTCCAACAAAGATTTTTCATTACTAGCAAACGGCATCGCTACTAGGAACAAAGGGCATCGCTAGTAGTAGCAAGAGTGCTACTAGTAGCTCCTGGCATTACTACTACGAACCAGAAGCTACTATATAGACTTTTAATGCAAGGAATTTGCATTCATGGCTTGCGTTGCCAACACACTGTCACTGTCAGCTTCCAACCATTTCCAACCCCAAGATTTACAGAGCAACGGAACACAAAACCCAAACGTCTGCGGGTGACGGTCTACGCCCGCTTCTTGAAGACAACGCCCTTCAACGCTCGGTCTAGGCCGCCTGCCTGGTGTGGAGGCAGCCGAGGCCGCTTGCGGCGAAGCGGAGCAGATGGCGGGCGAGGCGCTGGCGGCTGCGGAGGAGGTGGCCGAGATTGCGCGGAGCTTGCAGGACGTGACGAGGGCAGTGCGAATGGGTGCCACAGGGTGGAAGAGTGGACTCAAAGTGGAAGGACATGAATCATGATGGAGTGGCAAAGGATTATCATTCCATTTTATGAAGATGTTATTTCTGTTGTTTGTGCAAATAGCTTGCAGTTGCCAAGGGTGTTCAAGGGGAGTAGGATCATTTCTCGATCTGCGGGTTGGTTGGTCCGATGGCATTCTCTACAGTCGACATTCACCAATCGTTTAGCCAGCCATAGAACCATATGTGCGCATGAGTCCAAACATGTCAAGGGGGGCACATCGAGGAGTAGCACAGGGTGGGGGCACATGGGGGCACATTTCTCAGCGGTTTGTTGCGCTGCCCTACTCACTTGTCACAATTTTTGAGTGCTATTGTAGATGAGGCATTGCGCAGTTCTCAAAGCCAAGCCCAACAACCACACTGTGTTTGACTTGCTTGTCATGTGACCGAGAACGGCTAGGTGGCCAGCAAGTGTCCCACAAAGTGGCAAGCAAACAAATGGAGTTAAAGCATGTTAAAGCCACAACTAAGAGAACAACGAGCAGGTGGAATCGCAACAACATGCAACAACTATGTACAGAAAGACTTCGCAAGACGATGCTGTATCCATAAGGCATTTGACTCCTCCGTACTAGCTTTTTCAAACATCTGACCAGCAAGCCTCCAAGAGCTGGAAAGAACATGTACGTGTTCTGAGAAAAACAAGGACATCACAGAGGAAGAAAGGACAGAAAGGGTTGAGGGAAAGAGGAAATAAGAGGAACAGGGAAATGAGAGGATGCGCACCTGGCATGAGACCCTCCTGCATGAGCTGTGAAGTTGGACGTCATGAGCTTGATCCTTTGTGGCTTCAGGAGGTGCCTCCCTTGGACTTTCTGTTGAGCTCAGCCCCGGAGGCTTGGAAATTGGCCACGACTGTCCGACACCGTCAGGTAGATGTCCCAAGAGACTCATTCCCAAGTCCCCACACATTCATCACATTCAGTATCCCAGTGATGAAATGTGTTCAGTCGCTGTTTTAGTCTCACCTTGTGAGGTGTCACACTTGGAGTTGCCGGCACACCTGAAGCTCATCCTGGAACCTGAAAAGGCTTCGCAGGCTGGGACCGAACCTAGCGATCCATTGGCAACTTTTGGAGTACCCATGGCATATAGGCGGCATGGGAATCGATCCCATGTTTTGCCTTTCTGGCAAGTGCAGCACAAATAGAAGTGGTATGTTTTATCCAAGAATATCCACTTGAGTGACTGTCAAGCACACCCATGCTTCGAGTTGCTTGTGGATGGACATAGGGTGGGGCTCTCAAGATCTATACATTTAAAAGGTCATATTAAATCATATTAATCAACATCCCATGCTTGCCACATCACTTGAATCAATTGTTCATTCACTTTCTACTTTGGACATGGTTCAGGAGATCCCAGAAGCGATCTTGAATATGGAAGTTGAAGGAGATATTGACATGGAAGCTGAAGCACCTGAAGCTCTACAGCCTAAAGCCGGTGCTGGGGAGCTGGTGCCACGCCAGGAGGCACCAAAATGCAATTTCCTTCCACAAAACATCACCAAACTCTAAAATCATTTAGGGATCTGACAGTTTATACATGTATATTGTCCACAATGATTGTGCTAGCTATATAGTGTATTTTGAGGGGGGAAGGGGGCCTTCATCCATACATACATATCCATACCTTTTTTTGCGCAGGTGAGTCAACGCTGCCAGGGGTTGCCAGGGGGGTCAGGACAGCCAACAAAGATAACACTGTAAATCACTGTAGCTTCCAAGCTAGAACATTACCGAAGTGTTCAAAGACTTCACATCCTCCGGTGCTGCTCGAACAGAAGTATTGACTTCCTCACTGCGGCACCGACCCGCAGCATCAAATCTTCATTGTCTGCAGGCCACGCCCGTGTCTTCGCTAGGAAGGGAGCACGATGGAGTTGAAATGAGAGGGATTCAGAGGGCAGCCAAAAATTGAAAACAATCCTCTGCAGGGACTCTGCTCAGATATCAGCTCGTGCGTGGCTTTGACCCGTCTCCCAGTGTCGTCAAGGGGCGGCGGCACAGGGGCAGCTCGCGGCGCTCCTGGAAGGCAGAGCTCAAGCCCCAAGAGATCGGGGCACCAAACGGGTCCAAACGGCTTTCTGAGCCATGTGACTGTGACAGGAGACACACGCCCTTCAGCCCCCACACGCCCTTCAGCCCCCTTTTTAACCTTGGGGCTGTTGGTGACCAGATATGTTTGTCGAGTGGAAGGGACTTCCTCATAGTTACGCTATGTTATGCCATTGCGCTCATTTGTTTTCTGACGGCTGACGCCCACGCCCTACGCGGCTTGAAGGCTGAGTGGGCGACGAAAGTTCATTTGGCTATCCTTGAGCCTCGTTTCGCTCAAGTGCACTTCACAGAGCAAGGTCTGGATATTTGATCCGTGCCATGTCTGTTTCGAGATCCCCATCCTTGCGAACCAGTTCCATGAGAGTGACAGCCATCTGGTTTTGCAAATCTCTGAGCTGGCCTTTCAAGAAGTTCAGCGGTTCGCAGAGACGGGCGTTGTGGATGAGCAAAGGCAAGAATTCTCAGTTCCTGTTGTTCAGGGGTTTGCTTTGCGCCCAGGGTTTTGATTGTCAGCTCAGTTTGACACATAGCTTGGAAGCTTAGCTGGGAAAGCTTTAAAGCAGCATATGGCACACAGTGAATTTGATACATTGTTACTAAACATGGATGCCGAGCTATGATTATAGAGAAATATACCCTCACATAGCCCTAAATGTCAGCCGTCATGTGTTTCGACCGCAGTATCGAAATTGCACCTCACTCACACCCGCTCTTTTCTTCAGGGTTGAAGGTCACGTGACCTTTAGTTCTTGGCCGCTAAGCGAAACAAGATGCGTTTGTCCACTTGTTCGCGGATGTCAAAAACTGTCACAGTAGCAAGCCAGTTGCTCTTAGAGCAACTCAATGTTGGTTCATTCTCCCCGAATGATGAGGCCGCGATTCCGCGATCCGTTACGCGGAGAACTTAGAGGCCGACAGATCGCCCCCTGGCTGAGGATGATCTTAGCGCTCACCCGTCTCTGTTATAAATGCAGATATATTTGGTTAACTTTTCGAGCGCTTTTTCCGCAGCTGTTTTTCTCTCTGCAGCTGTTTTGGGAAGGCCTATCACTTGAGCCCTTTCGGTCGTTGGGGAACTCAGTCAGACCATCATGTCGAGCGTTGTCATTGCTTTTTGAAGGGGGCCCAGCCACCCCCATTGTGGTCTTGACAAAGGACCCCGCATTGTCTTGACATTGAGGTGTTGGCCTTGGTGGTGGCCCTTGCTGTGAGCCCTTCATTGCGCAAGGCTAGCAGTGCTTGGGAGAACTTGGCGGCGCAGGGATTGCGATTGTTTTAGGGACTTGAGAGTTCTCGACCGCGCTCATGTCTAGCTATTTAATTTAGATCGTAGACATTGAACTGAAGTCATTTACTTCTTCGGCTTCTTGCACTGCTGGCATGACCATCAAGCGTATTGTCTGGTTAAGGGTTGGGGCGACTGTCAAGTCCGCAGTGGCAGCCAAATGTTATGTCACGGAGGCAACGGGCGCCGCAGAGACTCAGACCACTCTGGTTGCCAGTAACGCTCAGACCACTGATGCTGTTTTGCCTGTCAGCGCAAGCGTGACGGACACAGGGCCCTCACAGCCCACTGGTTCCAAATATTTCAGCGATATCGCTTGCAGGTGCAGGACTGTCCACCTTGCACCCCTGCTTGCCTGATTTCCTGCCAGGTTGGATGATGCCAGATGGAAGCGACCAGCAGAGTCCAGTAAAAGAAGAGTCTAGCGGAAGCAGCAGAAATTGCACAATTTTCATAGGATTCCTTAATAGTTTTCTAGGATTCGAAACGACAAACCAAGTATATGTATGGAAGGAGGCACCGTCCTTTTTTCAAGCTGGCGATAGGAATCATGTGTGTACCAATGCTACAAATTTCTGCAAGCCTATATTTTATATAGGTACATACACTTGTGTAGCCAAATTTTTCCTTTTCAACCTTTCTTGCAAGCCAGGACGAGATGCAGATCGTCCCACGAAGAAAGAGACGACGAAGGTCGATATGGCTGGACGAGAAGTCCACACAAATTCCTCAGAAAGTGTGACCCAGCGGGTGATTGGCATGTGAGACATGAGACTTGGGTTGACGGGTTCTGAGCTGAAACAACTGAAACAATTGCATGTTCAGCAGGTAGCTGCGTCCAATGAGGCCGAAGTGTGGCAGACAGGTACGAAGACACCAGCAAAATCACCCGTGCCAATCCATGTGAGTACGGTATTTTCCTGCCACATCAGCAGGGCCCCCAGAAAGCTTTCATTTGCACAGGACCAATCGAATCTGACTGTTTCCCATCTTCAGAGGGCACAGTTTTCCCACTGAGGAGCTACCACATCGGCTTGACCACAGTCTTTGGGGATATTTGTCCCTTGCTTTGTGATCCGTGCGGCGCCTGGGAGTAAGTTTTTCTCGCGTCGACCCCCGACAGCGGCTTCGACCGTCTCGGCAAGATAAGGCTACGCAGGGCATCTGATGTTGGCGCAAGGCCATTTTTGCTGATTGCACCTGGATCCGATGGGAATACAGCAAGTCCAATCAAAAAATGGCGTTTGCTAGGTGAACCAGCTGTGAGAGATGTGCTTGACAGCAACATGTGGAAGAAATTTTGCGTTGCTTTTGTTTGGGTAGTTACTATCGTTAGACTATCCTGCTGTCAGAATGACACCACCCAACCTACCACAGCCCAAGGCGTTTTCTTTCAGGCTACTGACATTGTGGCCTACAGAACCACTATGCTCACATCATATTGCAGTGTTCAGGCTGAGAAGAGCCAGGGCGGAGGAGCAACTGCAATAGACTGTTGGTATTGCGATGCCTGGACCCATAAGTTGCTGATCATTGTTGTTTGGAACCAGAGCAAGACCAATGTTTGACAGAGTGTTTGATGCGGTTTCTTTCAATTGTTCATCCGTCTTCTGGGTGAGATCAAGGGGATAGGGGGTGTTTGTTCTCAACACTTCTTGTTTCTGCTAGTAGCAGTCTGTAGCAGCTGCTGTACAAAGCTACAGAAGGGCCATTTGCACGTTTCTTTTTTTGATGTTAGATGAAAAAGGACACAAACAACAAGGTGAGAGAACACAGCAACAGCTTTAGGAGACTAATATACCTTCTCCTCCGCGAGACTTGCCTGTTCCAGAGTTGCAGCCTGAGAGTTGAGTGGACCGTGCCTCTATTTTCGGGTTGGAGATGACAGCAGTGTGAGACACCTTTCCAGAAACATCAACCTTTAATCTAAGTTCCCATTTCCCTAGGAGTCAGTCCAAGCATCCAAGCATTCCTTCCATACGTAGCTTCAGACCAACATCAGGGGATTGCCCAGCCAGGTTAGCTGCGGATGCCAGCGCAGTGGTTGAGGGCGAGGCGCTCGCCTTCACTGCCCAGAGTTGTGAGAATCAACCTATATATCTATATAATAGCGATGGCCTCCAACTGAATATTTAGTGATGGCCCCCAATCGAGTAAATGGCGATGGCCTCCAACCTAATTATATTTAACGATGGTCTCCAACCTAATAATTAGCAATGGCCTCCAACCGAATAAATAGCCATGGCCTCCAACCGAATAATTAGCGATGGCCTCCAACCGAATAGTTATAGCGATGGCCTCCAACCGAATAGTTAGCGATGGCCTCAAACCTAATGATTAGTGATGGCCTCCAACCGAATAATTAGCGATGGCCTGCCATCCCAATAATTAGCGATGGCCTCGAACCGAATAATTAGCGATGGCCTCCAA